GGGCTCTCGACGGCGGACGATCCTTCAAAGCATGGCGCAAGCCCTAAACCCTTTAGGGAACCCTAAACCCTAAACCCTAAACCCTAAGCCCTAAACACTAAAGGGTTTAGGGTTTAGGGTTTAGGGGTTTTAGGGGGCACTTGAGGGCCTCGGGAGTTCGGGAGTCTTAGGACTTGGAAGCCAAGTTGGTATAAAGGGCTGGAGGTGGCAGAGTGCTTGGATGGAAGGCACGCATAGGGGGGCCTTCAGAGCTTTGCTAGGAATGGGCTTCGGGGGATGCCTGACAGTTGAAGCTACAGGCACACCCTCGTCCCGGTTTTGGGGGTGATTTGGGGTTGCAAACCTGAGCGCCCCATGGTCACTGAATTCAGATGAGAAGCTGCTCCGCTTTGTCCCAATAGCGGGTGGTGGCGTCGACGCCTTCTGCCTCAGTATCCATTGCCCCTTGCGATGTTCCCCCTTATACTCACACTCCCTAAGAGGGATTCTGGCACCCCCGATTGTACTGCCTATTAAAGGCTGCTAGTATAAGGGGGAACATCCCAAGTTGCCCGCCCACTACTTGGCACGAAGGCAGCAAACGTTCAAGGGCACTTGCGGAAGCTCGGCTCGCGCCCCCCAACTTCCGAGGTCTCCAAGGTGCCACTGGTCCCCCTACTGTGGGGATCGGAACAATTACTAATAGTATTCCGTTTTGGTCCCTATATAGTTACCTATATAGTTATACCATCAACCCCCCCCCCCCCCCCCCCAAAAAAAAAAAACTACTCTAATCATTAAGGTCCCCCTACCCAGCGGTGTTGCAACCTGGCGTCCACGTGCTGCACGCCATGCATCAGCCCGCTGACCGGCTTGGCCACGAGCCTTGAGAGGTGATGGAAGAGGTCTGTCTGGGGTGGAGTTTAGATTGTGTCTTTTGAACTTTTCTACCTGGCGCTCTTTTGTTTTGTTTTTTTTCCCTTTTCCGCAGGCAGGGCTTCTAGCGCCCTAATGATGTTCTGGGAGTCCTATGAGAAGAGCAGTCTGTGACGTCGAGGCTCCCCGCCGCACCCTTCAGCATACCGGTGGCCAGGCCAACCATTCCTGCGGCTTGGAAGAAGTTGGGCCTATGAGGCTGTAGAAGACCGGAAGCTTGGCGAAGCCCTCAATAACATCTCAATAACTCTTGATTCGAAGCAACCAGCCGGGAGGCACGGCTACTCTTCCTGATCACCACACCAGTAGTTACCCTTGCGTTTAGACTTATGCCCGAAGTCGGCACCTTCTCAACTGAATGTTGCAAACCGCATGTCGGATCTGACATCCAGGGTCCTTTGCGTTGGAAGCCTTGCACAGGGGCCTGCACGAGGCCGGCGATTCCAGAAGTGGCGCCATGCAAGAAGACCTGACGGTGAGAAGTCATGTCAAAGGCTTGCTGCGAGGGCCTCTTGCCATCTCCAAACCCGAGGAGTCTAGATCACGCTGCCGCAGTACGGCGGCATTTGATGGCATTTGCATCTGTTCGACTCCTAGCCTCTCTATGATATCCCAAGTCACTCAGTCCAAGCCACTCAGTGTCATGTACATTCGAGGGAATCTTGGCCTATGTAAAATGATCAGAGTCGAACACGTGAACGAATGCTGACAAAATGACACATGTCTGTGTCTAGTGGAGGACATTCGTCTTTGCACTTCAGCTCAGGAAACCAACCCCGACCTTGCTACTTTTTGCTACTGACCTTAGATGACTACTACCGCCAGGTACGTCCGGCTTCGAGTGGCTCCCAAGACCCACAGACAGGTTCTTAGGACAGTGTCTGAGGATCAGATCCGATCCCTGGCCTGCGCACCGGCGCTCAGACCATCACCAACATGATTCATGGTGCCAGGCCTCGGCGCGCGAACCCCTGAATAGCAAACTGGGTGGCTTAGCACTTGGCGGAGGGCACAAGACGAGGCTGCGCAAGTTCAAGTTTGCCGGGCGCAAGCGCAATCCTGCCAAGACCAGGTGTGGACAAAAGCCGAGTTCAGATTGCCACACCTTTGGAGTTCTGGCCGAAAGCCATGCGCACCAAAACGTTCTAGCTCGCAGTTCTCTTCAGTTCGCCCAAGGCTCAGACAACCCCTAAAGACTTTTGAAACCGGACTTGATGACTGCCAGCAACCCCTAAATCCTAAGCCCCGAACCCTAAATATGGCATGTACTCACCAAGTGGCTGGTAATGGCGATTTTGGTCTCCACCAGTTTGGGCCAGCGCATCAACTGTATCGCCTGCAACCAGAAGGCCACAGAAAGTAACACAAGCTGCTTCAATACCAAGGGTTTAGGGTTGAAGTTTAGGGTAAAGGGCTACCAGAGGGGAGGGCCTTGAAGGCAGGGAGCACTTTGAGTGGGCTTGAGAAGGAGCCCTCACAATCAAAGACACCTCCCAGCTATTTCGAATGGGCCTAGAGCTCCAAAGAACTTTCCGGCAGTGGCAGCAGTGCCACCAACCACTCCTGCCGGGTCTCTGAAGCATCTTTAGGGTCTATTTTAGGGTATAGGGGAATTCGGAACTGCATAACTCACGAAGTGGGATGAAGTCTTGGTGTACAAGCTCGGATGAGGAGCAGCTTAGCTCGCAGGTGACACACCGGGATAAGAAACTGTCCTCCCCCCCCGCCCCCCAATCTCCAATCTGGGGCCACCTGCGCAGCATCAAGCATCTTACAATCTCTCGGGTTCCAGGATGGGCTATTATTCCCTATAATCCCTTAAAAGGCCCTTTTTAGGGTTCATTATGAGGATTTTAAGGCCTAATAGCCCATCCTGGCTGCTAAGCATTCCTGATAATGAGGGGTGTCTCCGCTAATTACAGCACAGGCTTGACGACTCAAGGCTCGCTCAACAAGGACGTGCCATGTTGATGCGCTCCCTGCCCTAAACCCTAAACCCTAAACCCTAAACCCTAAACCCTATGCAAGTCCTTGGGCAAGGCTGAGGAGACCCTCCCCCTTCAGATCGCCGGCAATGACCTGCGCTGGAGAAGTCATCTTGTCATTGCGACTCTGCTGCAACATGCACCAAAGGAAGAGCATGAAGTTTGACTCCAGCACAGACCAAACGTCTTTGTGAGAGTAGAAAGTGCAAAGCTGGTTGCGAATTGTGGAGGATTCAGCTCGACAGTTCAGGGAAACATCGGAATGCTTTATCGCATTCTTCTATGCCGCTGCCTTTCAATGGACACTAGTGGCCTTGTTGTAAGCAAACAGTGTAACGGCAAATCCTGCCGTAATGGGTTGTACAACCCGTCCCTACACCCACACGACCCTCCAACGCATCGAGGATGATGGCTCCAAGATGGTACCCTAACCTCTGCAACAACAAGCATCTCAGCACCCACAGCTGACAGTGTAGCCTTACGAGAACTGTATGTGCACCATGCAATCTTAACCCAAACGGCCCGAAGCACGAAACAAGAAGTTTCTGGAGTCACCTCGCTGCCCGTCTTTCTGAAGAACTTCATCACGCCGCCTGGAAGGCGGTGGTTCAGTATCAGGCTAGGGTTCTGTGTGATGGCCGCTGCTTGCCCAACCACCTGTGACGGAGGTCGTCAGGCCAACAGGATCACCCAGCAGGTTGATGCTGAACAGGACCTTCCAGAACTGATACCTCAGCAGCTAAACCCGAAAACCCTAAAAACCTAAACCCTAAACCCTAAGGTCCAACCACGTTACTGTCAATCGAGCATGGAGTCGCCAGTACCTCAACCGCGGCCCCACTCAAAACCACTTGAATCGCATACCAACCTTTTTGACTCCTGAGCTTAAACCTAACAAATGCCCAATGACTCTTATGTAGGCCCTCAACCCCCAAATCCCAATCCTCATCCTCAACGTCCCCGACCCTGGACCCTCAATCACTCAGCCCGATCTTGCCTGAAGCCCGATGACCTAAATGTGGGTGAAATCTCTTTTCCCCCATCTTGAGTACTAAATCAACTGCTCGCCCTCCGCTTCTCTAACTCAAGCCGCTTACAAGGCTTCTTGGCAGACAGAAACTGGCTTGGGGTTTTTGGCACCTAAGTACCTTTGGAGGGGGCCAGGTTCGTTTCTCCTGCGCCTACCTTAATTCCACATCCACCTGCCCTTTGAAACGTGACTGTCAGCATAGGCGTATTCCTGTATGCCCTGTCCAGGCACATGCCCGTCTTCACGTACTCGCGCACCAAGCTGGACCTCGCTATGCAACTATCAGGGCTTCTACGGCCCTAGAGGGTCTTGGTCTTTGGTGGACACAGTTCAGGACTGGGTGTTCTCTTGAAACGACATCCCCAAAGCTTGCATTTGGAGCCTGTATTTCCGCTGCATCCCTCAAGAAGTAGGTGTCTCGTTCCATCTCAACCCTGAAAGAACAAAACGTCAGCCCAGGAGCAAGAAAGGCATCAATTCTTCCAAGGTGTCTCTAAAGACCGTCCTCGGGATGGGTGGGATGTGCGCTTGATGTGCGCACGTGTGTCACATGCACATTGTTCTTTGACGTGGACTCGGCTTTCCATGTCCAGCATAACATGTGACTGTCGTGTCAAGGGCTGCAAGGACCATGAGCTACCGGAGTGTCCAAACCATTCTCGAATGTCTTGCCTCCGCACCTGCTGGAGCAAGTCTTGAGCAGCCATGCATCTCAGGGAAAGCAAATCGCGGCGTCATGTGCCCCACTCCAGACAGCACGCCGCTGCCTACCTTGCCGGACGATGTTGCGGGATAGGGGTCGTCGGTCGGGCAGTGTCATCGGGTGGAAGCTTTGGGTCGGTTGCCTTTCCCTTGCGTCTCTTCGCTCTGATTACCGGACCCTTGCAGACGGACGGATCTCAATGGCTGGTTCCTCCGATCCTGGCGGGGTGGGGCAGCAAATCATTTTCTCAACGCAACTACGGCTTCATGCCCTGCACATCCGAACCCGCAGCCCTCAGGGTGTAAGGGGTAAGACCAAAAGACGCTGGTGACCACGAAGAGCAGGCCCTTCTGTGCCACGATGAGCACCTTCCTCGGCCGCATGAATGTTAAGCCGGTCTGCTTCCAACGGCTTTTATGCGTGAATCGGCCGAAGCCTGTATTTTAATACACTGCAGCTGCTGCAAAAAGCAAGCTTTCGTGATTCGCGATTTGTTATGATTTACGCCTACCTTTTAAGTCGTTCAGCTTTGGCGCTAAGAACAGTGCAGCTGCCATGCTCCTACTGGTAGCCACGCTCGTGGTTCATTGCCTGTTGCCCAAAATCCAAGGTTCTTGACCAAGCCGTGTGATCGGTGGGTGAGCCGCGCCAGAACTCGAGACAGCCACATCGACCTGGTCGATGGTATGTGCTGTATGCAATATGGCGGCACCATTTCAATACCAGGCCCTCCACCAGTAGGGGAGGGGCGGGGGGGGGGGGTAGGTGGAGGGGTCGAGTCTCCACTCATGAAACCAAACTTCACTGTCGTCTTCGAATGGCCAGACCTTTTGAATGCGCAAAGCTGATGTTCACCCCCTAAAAAGAAGTAGCTAAGCCACTGAAGCATCTGCACGTCCTGCTCATCGTCCTCGTCCTTGTTACACTTACCACTTTGATAACTAATGGGTGTTGACATTGCTATTTCGAGAGCATTTCATCAGGTTCCGAATGTTGATGCACATGTTTTGATGATAATTACGGGCGATGATTCCCCCAACCAAGAAAGTCTCGGAACCCAGTTTTTTGATCAGCATCTTCGTCTATCCGACGACAAATTTTCACAATATCCATGCCCTCCACAGGCGCCTTTTCAGGGATTGTTGTGATTTCCAGGGCTCTTGGTCGTTTCAGTTTTGCCCCCATTGACCCAATGCCAGTCCTCGAACATGGAAGCGGCGCCTCCCGAATTGGCCTGGCCACGAGCAAGCGGAAGCATCAACTCTCAGGGGGAACATTCTTTGGGGACCAGCATATACCTTCTACTTACATTCCGATGCATCCCCTGTTTTGAGAGCGCCCAAAAGAGAAAAGTCGCAACATGGGTCCGTCTTGGTTCAACTTCGACACCGCCCAGTGCCCTGCAGTATCCCTGAGATATCGGCACCGTCATCTCCGAAGCCGGTCTAGGGTTTAGGGTGTTATTGCGACGTCTTGTGAATCCGCAGAGCCTGCTTCTTTTTCAGAAGCTTGCTCTTCATGGGCATTAAGATCTCCACTTGCGCAATCAAGGCTCCTGGCCGGCGACCCTAAACCCGAAACCCCAATCCCTAAACTCGTGATGTCATGCGGTTCACTTCTGAGTCATTTCTTAAGGCTGCCAAGTTGCAGGACCAAGCGTTTGGGTTTCGAATTCCCGACAGGAATCCGAGGGCATTCTTGAGACCTAAGCCCTCAACCGCTTCATGCATGGCCAACCGGGGGCAGGATGCGGCTCCTAAGCGGAAGCGCTCGAAGTACACGGGCTGGCGGGTTGTTGAACTGGACGGCACATCAATACCTCCGGTTTCGCGACATGTTTGCAAGGATTGGCAAGGATCCTAGCCAAAACATTGCTTGCGTCCGCACTGTCCCTTGCTTGCCTCCTTCACGGAGGAGAGAGACCTGCTTAGCCACGATCTCCCGATCCTCCGCGGAGCTACCTGAATCGCTCGCGGCACAGCTGTCGACTCTGACGTCCATGTTTCAACCAGCTTTGAGAACTTTGGTTCAAAGTGTCGAGACCCCTAAGGATGTCCCACGGGTTCCCTTTTCCATACTCCGAATGTGGCCCTTACATTCCCTTAGAGGATCTTTAAACAGGGTCCTCCAACCCAAAGGTACAACCTTAGGTCTTAGGCGAAAAGGTCCTAGGCGGCGTGCAATGGTCTCTCCCTGCCCCGGCAGCTGAAAAGAAACTCAGAAGCCACACCGCAGCAAATGCTTGCCTCAACACCCACACCAAGAAACCTTGGTGCTCCCGGCTTCGTGCAAGGCTAAGATACATAACGTGGAACCCCCTAAGCCCTTTTTCTAAAGCGGACCCCCGAAAACCTAACGCCGCAACCCATTCCCCCCTAAACCCTAAACCCTAAACCCTAAACCCTGAACCCTGAACCCTAAACCCTGAACCCTAAACCCTAAACCCGAGCCTGCGGCACTCGCGGCAGTGGCGTTGCTGTCCACAGTGGCCCAGTCGAAAAGCTGTTGGCCCACCTGCACCCAGAACCTCAGCTGGTGTCTGTGCAATGCAACCCCCTCCCCCTGACGTACATATACAGATATTTGCATATATATATATATACATATATACATATATATATATATATTGCTAGATATATTATATAATATGTATTATGCCATTAACGCCTCTACCCTGGCCAATGTTTGGCTCAGCCAGAAGTGGGCTGGGCGCACGACTTGGGAGGCCTTGTCGGGACACCTCTTTGTAGGCCGAGGTATATGTATACGTATACGTATATGTATATGGCATTCTATGATATATGTGTGCCGGTGTGTGTGTGTGTGTGTGTGCGCGTGTGCGTGCGCGTGCGCGTGCGAGGTACGTAAAAAGGCACGCGTCGTTTTTGCAACATGCCCGTGTCTGAGCAGGATTCCGCCACCAAGCAGCACCAAGTCTAAGCGCACGATGACCGGCTGAAGCAGCAGTTGGAGGTCCTGGAAGGCAGATGAAGCACACGAAGCACTCGCAACTCTTTAAGGCTGCTTTCGGTGTTTTTTGCCATCCGGCTAGCCGCGCACTGTACAGGGTTTCAGCCTAGGAAGAAAAACAAGTCACTGGTTGAGGGCTTAGGGTTTAGAGTTTCGCTTTCCTCACAGCTCCGCGTCTTTTTATTGCGCTTGCATGAAGCGGTCCTTGAAGTGGAGAATGCCGCTTGGCAACTTCTCCATGCCTTGTCCCAAGCCAAAGGCAACGCTTCTGGTGACTCTAGATGACTCTAGCACACAGCGCAGAAACCAAAACTCTGACATTGAGGGGTGTTGTTAGAAGCAGTTGCCTACAGCTTGGTGATGTGGCCATCCAGCAAACCAAGCCACAGAAGTAGACGAAGGGGATGGTGTCCGCTGCCTTGTCACCACTGATGCACCCACAACCCTCGAATCACTTTATAGCTCAGGGGCGGGGTTTTGACCAAGCCATGCGGTTCCAAAAACCCGCAAGACATCTCAACTCCAGAGCCTTGCAATAAGCGACAAGGTTGAGGGTTAGGGCCCTGAGGGGGCCTGCAACCTTAAACCCTTTAAGACTAAACCCTAAAATCCCTCCCAGAGCATGCAAAACCCGCCTCTTGCAACCCTCAAGCCTTAAGCTTACAGCCGAGTCTCCGAGCCGCCCTTGCGGCCCTTGTGGGGGCGATCCCGGCGGTCGCTGTGGTAGCCGCTGTCCTTCTTGTCTTCTTCTTCTTCTTCTGCTTTTTCTTCTCCTGCTTCTTCTTCTCTCTCTGATTCTGCTTTGCTGCTAGTGCTGGTGCTAGTGCTTGACGCTGGTGCTGCAGTTCTTTCTCTTTGTTGCAGTTGTTGCAGTTGCTGCGATATTCCACGCGGAAATTACTACTACTTCTTGTGGTTCATGCTGAGCTTAGGGGACCGCGCTCTCCCATCCGAGAAGCAGGGCAGGCACTTGGCATGTCTACTTCTACTTCCCCGCGAAGAGACAAAGGGGGTAGGGTTTAGGGTCTAGTGTTGCTGTTTGTAAGGATTTGTTCTGCCAAGGGCGGAAGCCTCTGGCTTCTGTTTCCGTCGTTCCTTTGCCCTGCATCCTGCGGCCTTTCCTTGTGAAGCTCTTCTCGTCCGAACCCAGATTCCAATCCATGATCCATCACCCTAAACCCTTAAACATCCACTTTTCGTAGACAGGCAACCTTCGAAGCACTAGAGCTCCGTCTTGCACATGGTTACTCCACGAATGAGCCCTGGGGCGCATGAACCAGACTATCATAACACATATTAAGATGACTTTAATTTTCCATATAGATTGTTTTGAACAGTTTCATGTACCATATTGCAATATCAGTCCCGTCGTCTTTCTTAGCTAGTCCTCCGGGCAGACAATGATCGGGCGCAGCTTGTCGGCCTCTCTCATGTTGTCAATCCTGGGTCGCTTGGAGCTGTTGTCTTTGCGCATGCACAGGAGAAGTACATTACCCGGACGAACCGCAAACCCTAAAAACGCTAAACTGACTTTTCTCAAGCCTATTAACCCTACGTCTCCTTAGCATCGGGTGGCTTTCCTCTTATGTACTTGCTGCAATACTTGTTAGTATCCATGAACCTCCAAAAAAAGGGACACGGACCAGGCAGAGACCAGCGCAACTAATGTTTGAGCTCTGCTTCTGAAAGTGATGCACCAGGAACTGCACTTTCCGCTGGGCATTCCGCTTCAGAAACCTCGGGCGCATCCGCTCTTGCAATCTCTGGGTTGAACGAAGCCCAGGTTCTCTTGTTTGCCTTTGAAAAATTCAGGGTTTATACTGGGCTTCCGGGAGAGCATCTTTGGGACACTTCAACTTAAACGGCCCTCCTGCACGCACATGGCTGTGAGAGCGTGCAGGCCCAGGCGCTGGATGTGGTCCACTGTCAGAGCAAACTGCTCCTTTCAAGCACCGGCCACTGTGCAAAGCAGAGGTTTACAACCCTAAACCCTAGACCCCCCAAATACCCACAAATGAAGCAACGGAGCCGGGATCCCTGGTTAGTAGCTGATCCTGCTTGCAAAGGGGTGCAAGCAAGGTCTCCAAAACACTGGCTACAATGCAAAGCGCGTTCGTCTTAAAACAAAACATTTTCGCGCGACGTTTCAGATAGGCTCGTCCTCAACCCTTTTGTGTTTTTTTTTTACATCTGGCCTGCTGTGACTCTGCCCGGTAAAGGCAGGGGAAGTATGTTCCACATACTTCCTTCTTAGCAGCATGCTTCGCACAACTGCAGGTCTCTGCCTATATACTGCTACGCAATCAGCAACCAACAAACCACCATCATCAGTTGACTGCAGGCGACGCGCTCTTTCAGCACGCTGTCTCTGTTTCAAAGCTAGTCTCTCAATCCTCTGCATCTCCCTGAATTTTCCAAGTGCGCATGCCCGTGCAAGTCCTCCTGCTGCTCAACGTCCCTAGCATACTTCACGAAAGGAGGCGCAGCATCTGCGGTTTGCACGTTTGTTGGTGGTGCCGTCACCGAGTGAAGAGCAAGAAAAGGCTTCCAAGATGTCGGCTTTGTACCCTGCGACATGTCTTCCAATCGAGCCAGGCGGTCATGCAAAGCACTGATAGAAATTCCATCTGCGCCGACACCTACTGCAGGACGCTCCTCGCACTCACCTCTGCTGACTACCTCAACGCCGTCTCACCGTGGAAGAGCTGACTGTCGCACCACAGTCATGCCCTGTACATCCAGGCTCAAACAGCAATGATTCAGCGAGGAGTATAGTGACCCTTTGATCTTCGTTTCCGCTGTCAGAAGAACGAACCGAGTCTTCCTGCGTCAAGTCCGTTGTCAGGCTATGCAAGGCAGCCTGAAGATGAAAGCCAACATCTGAGGAGAGCTTGAACCTTTTGGCCCATCTCACAGCGAAACCAATGCAGGAGGACAGTTTTCTTTCCGCGGACACCATGGCACAATAACCCTTTTTGCATCGGCACAATAACCCTAAATTCTAAATCCTAAACCCTACGTTTCGTCGCGACCCGGAAGCTAAAGCACCCGAAGCCCTCGCACTGAAGAATGCCCAGCCTAATGAGCCTAACTAAGAACGTCTAAGAATGTCTAAGACATCTACTAAGACGTCTACACATCTACCCTTGTAAATTAGAACCCTAAACCCTAAACCCTAGAGGCGTCTGAAACCCCAGTGGGGCTCCTCGTCAGTGAGCAGATCGTTCACCTTGGTCGCCCAGCAACCATCTTTAGGGAAACATAGGGGCCTGAATAGTTAGAATAGGGTTTTCGGAGCCATAAGGGGGAACACTATTCGTAATTATTCCGACCCCTATATTACCCTTTTTGGGTCGCTTACTTTAAAGGGGGAACCCAGAACTTAAAAAAAAAGGTAAAGGGTACCACTGGGCTGCCAAGTCACATCCCCACCTGTGCCGAGTACGTGGGGCCGCACTTGGAACCTCTGCCGGAAGCGCCCTAAACCCTAAACCCTAAACCCTAAACCCGAAACCCTAAACCCTAAACCCTAAACCCTAAACGCGCAACTGCTGGGCTGTTCCAAGCTCAGGACCGGGGGTTTGTTTTGTCGGCAAGAGCCCAGAGAGCCCAATACCCCCCTAAGTAAGGAATATACCTTAAATCACTTAAATCATATTAAGGATCCCCATATTACTTTAAGGTATATTCCTGAGGGTATTGGTCCTTTTTGGGAGGGTTTAGGGCTACCAAATCAAACTGCCAACGTCTGGTCTCGGATGGCTTTGCCCTGCTCCGTGGCCTCCTGCCCGTGTAGATCTGGGACCCCGGCACAAAGTTGATATGTGCTCCAGATAGCTGCACGTCAATGTCCCAGCCTGAATCTAAAACTTCAGACGATTCTAGGCGTCTACAAGGAAAGGCGGGCAAAAGCAAGCCTGGACATGGACCTGACTTGCGAACACCAGTGTGGCACAATGGGTGCAGAGTCAGCAGTTGGGCTAAAAGCTCGATGTTCGCAACTTGGACTACTAGTGATCCTCCCACTTCTTGATGTCTGTGAGGGTGAGGCTGATCAACGCCCACCCAGGGCCGCGCCGCCCTAAACCCTTTTCTTGTAGCACTGAGCATTCCCACATCATCGTCATATACGAGCACGGGTATGTATTTTATAAATGGGTGGGGGAGGGGGCGGTTGGAGGTTTGGTCACTCCACTGTTGAAAGAGAATATTCGCCTTCCTTTCTTTTCCCTGTGCTCTCTGGTACCAGTCTTGAGCTCTGGCTCTGACATCTGTATTTCCACCCAACGTACCCGCACCCGCACGTCCTGAATAGGGGGACCTTACAGGTACGCGGTAAACGTAGAGGTAAACGTATGATACACACATGCATGTGTATCTGCATACATTGTCATACACCTACCTATATATATATATATATATATATATATATGTATATATTAGTATAATACATATGTTTATTTGTGCCGATTTGGGGGATGCTTTGAGGGCTCGACCTGAGGCACCCCTGATCCGGTGTCTGCCGAGTGGCACTCGAATGCCGCGTAGGAGCTTCTGCTGTCAGCGCCGGATGCGATGAGGTGGTGACGACTTTCCCTTGTTACATGGCCACTTCTCTTGGGACGGTTCTGTTTTGGGGTCTGTCGTAATACCTCCTTTGCAAGTTAGAGAACTGACGAGGTAGTCTCGAATGTGTCCCTCGCTTGGTGCTTGGGGAACAGCTTTACCACATTCTCACGTGAAAAACGAGCAAGGAGTTACTTGAAGCTTCGAGTTTTGGGACGGTGGCCGAGCGAAAGTCAACCTGAGCCTTGTGTGGTCGAAGGCCATGGGTTTTAAGGTTTAGGGTCGTTCTAGGCAGGGGTCGTGTACATAAAGGGCCCTCCGACGCCTGTCCGGACTTGAATGCCACTTGCATCCGGCCCTCTGCTGGGTACGGGCTGTAGGGGCTACAGCTGGAGATTCGCACGGACATTCTAGGTGCCGGAATTTTCGGAGGATCCTGTCAGGGGAAGACGACAAAGCAGATCTGGCCTCACCGAGAAAACCTTGGACGCGCCATCGAACCAGCGGTCGACGAACAGCTTGCCCTGCGAAGCTTTCCTCAGCACGGGCATGGGTGGAGTCGACCGGCTAAAGCCCGAATTCAACAGTTCAGTCAGCTGGACCTAAACCTCATGATCACTAGGTTTTGGGGTGCAGGCCTGTCAGCCCTTCGCATGGTTCTTGGGAACCACCAAGTTCATCCAACTCTCATCTCGCCCGAGGTGCCGGAAGCGGGCCCAGCCGGGGCTTCGCAGCAATGCCTCGTGCAAGGCCACGAAGCTCTGTGGCTGGCCTGGAACAGAAGCGTTTCGCGCAGCTTCTGCACGTGGGGGTGGGATCTTGTGGTGTAGAAGCCAATCATCCGGTGCTGCCGTTTCTTAGGCAGTGGCCTAGCCCCAAGTGGAACATCCGGAAGCCTAAGCAAACCACAGCGCTTTCTCGGGAGCTCGGCCTAGCTCTCCGCTGAAGCACTGTGCAAAGTCCAGCAGGCCTGCAAGCGAGGATTGAACGCTTAGGTCTCGAACTTGAACCGACGAGCCCCCCCTGGTTGCTTGAAGCCTGATGTTCACCATCGACCTTCCCTAGGACACGGGTTCTGGACAATTTCCAGCTTCGAAACCCGGGCCTGGGGGTGTTAGAGGGACTGGCGATTTAGGCATCCTCTAACTACATGGAGCTACATACTCTTTGCATATTGGGGTCCTTCTTGTAAGGGAATCTTACCATTTGGGGCTGTCTATTTTAGGGGTCCCCAATTTTCGTAAACGCCCATATCTGGGTATGCCAGATGCCCGCCTGCCGGGTTGATGACCTCGCCGCCCTCCTCTGCAAGGAGCCGGCGGACGAAGGCCTCGGCACGGGAGATGCACGCGCGGAAGACTTTCTGGCCTCGAACGGAACGCACGTGCTCTTTCTTGAAAGAGCAACCAAGTAGAAGTTATATATGTATGTATATATATATATATATATATATATATATATTCATATATATATAAAGTTGTTTATGGTTATAGTTGATTGCTTCTCGTGTGAATGCCCAGCTACGCCGATGAAGACATGCCAAAACAATCCAAGCCGACCTTTCCCTTGCGATCAACCCCGTCCCTAAGCCCTAAAGTCTGAACCCTTTTGAACCAGGAGCTTGGCGTATGCCTGGAAGTCTGAACCCTAAACCCTAAACCCTAAACCCTAAACTGTTAGGGGTGCTTCTGGGGGGGTTTGCGGGGGAAATGCGGTCCCAGCTGCTGCCATGGCCTGCCCACTTCGAAGGGAGGCCACAGCCTGGTAACCCTCCTGTGATTCAGGGTCTCAGGGAGCACCTTCTCTTCCCTCAAAAAAAAATGCGACGATGTGATAGTATAGTGTAATATAGTAAACTAAGAATCGATGTGACCACAGCCTGGCTGGGCCCAAGGCGCTTGGAATCCTTGGCTCCCTCAACTCCAGAAACTGCACTTCTATCGCTGAGCCAACCGAAGCCAGATGTCTTCCCGCCCCTCCTCCGTCAAAGGCTCGCTCATGCCAACAGTAACATCCTGCCGAAGCAGCGAGACCCGAGACGAATAGGAACCCTGTATCAGCTTTGCGCTGCAAGTTGAAGATTTCGTCAGGCAGTTCGGGGTCTGCGCTGCAGCTTGAGGATTTCCTGAGGCAGTCTGGAGTTTCGGAGTCTTTGGACAGCGGAAACTCGCCCCCAAACCCGAAGCCCTCTATCCCCAAACCCGTTTATCCCTGAAAGCAGAACCTCGGAGATGGACGAGGTGGAGAAAGAAGCATCCTGGGATTCGCGGGGGTGCAGAAACTACTATTTGCTTAAGAACCCTTTTCAAGAAAATATGAAATACCAATCCCCTAAAATTACCCTTATAAGGAAGAATATTATTCATTTTTCTTGGGGGGGTCTGAAGCAATTGGTAGGAAAGCAGGATTTCGGTTTTTCTTGGGCTCCAGGGCTGCCAGGAACCTAGGAGGTAAGAACATTATCACATTGTCATATTCTTAGATTTGGCTAATGGAGTCATAATTTACTTTATGACTACACTCGTTTACTCTTCATATGATTAGTATGTCATTACGTAGTGTTGTTAGTGTTTGTGTTATGAAATTGGTGTTATTCGGGAAGAAGGGCGCGCCCAGGCTCCCAAGGTCCGGGAGGCCTGCGCCAAAACTGCGAATCACCGCAAGCCTTGTTGGGGTTAGGGCTTCTAGGCTGGGATGTTCCCCCTGAAACAAACAGTCCTGAACAGGATCTAGTACCCCTATTATCATCCCTCTCAAGGACTGTTAGTGACTGTTAGTGCAAGGGAGAACATCCCAATTTATCGGGTTCAGGGTTTAGGCTTTACAGGGTTTAAGTTTAGGTTTAGGAGGGTGTGACGCCATCTAACCCTTAAAGGCAACAACCACGGCGGATCAAGCCATGGCCCCTTCTTCACAGCCCCTGGACCCAAGAGAAACCTAGAATAAGCAGGGTACCCTTTTTGGTTTTACAAGGGGCTTGGAAGGGACCCTAAACCCTGATGCCCACGAACGCTCCACCGACCTAAGGCCGAGTCCGCATGCTTCGGATGCCCGGCCCTGGGCCTTTTCAGGCATCCGGGCTTAAGGCTCTGACCCCCAAAGCCCTTTGTCTTCCTGAGGAGGGTTGAGGGTTTAGGGTACCCCTAAACCCTAAACCCTAAACCCTAAACCCTAAACACCCAACCCTATGCCCCCCCTAACGACCTGAAGGCCCAGCCGCGCTCTTCTTCTCCTGTCCCTGGCTTGGGGGCGCCTCTGTCTCCTGATCATCCTGAAGGGGTGGTGGGGCTTCGGGTCTAGGCTCCTTTTTTGCCATCCTGAACCCTAAGCCCTAAAGCCTAAACCCTAAACCCTGAACCCTAGACCCTAAACCCCTCAGCAGGCTTTCGGGTTCCGAGGGCAGGCAATGCAAGACACACTTCCGACCCATGGGGCTTTTTGGAGCCTTGGAGCCTGAGTTCAGGACGTGGCTGATTTTCTGCAGCTCACAGATGAGCCCAATACCCCCTTAAAATAAGGGATTCACCTTCAACCATAGTCTACCAACTGCTTAAGAACCCAAAAACTATTCTTCCTGATAAGGGTAATATAGTGATTATTATGTTTTATTTTAGTTTCTTGGGGGTTCTCAAGCAAATACTAGTAGTAAGGATCCCTATATAATTTCAGGTGTATTCCTCAATTCGGGTATTGGGCTTTCTGGGTCATGGGCTTGTAGTATTATAGGCTTCCGTAAGGAACGGAGGGGGGGTGTGGGATGGCTTTGTTTGGGCTCTTTCATAATGGCCCCTGCCCTTGCCCGGCTCTGACCTGGACATAATCCCCCCCCCCCTCCAAAAAAAATAAATACTCCCCATGCACTAATATATAGAAATATATACATATATATATATATATATCAATATATATATATATATGTGTATAAATATATACATATATATATATATATACATTGATAATATTGGGAGTATTTCATATTTGGGGGTAGGGGGTTCTGAACCCTAAACCCTAAGCCGGGACGGGACAAACAAGCAGTCACTGAAGTCCCATACCGCTCCTCAGATCCAGGGGCCTCATCGTCGCTGACCTCCATTCTTTCTGGCACATGGGTCAGCTGATGGTCCCCTGACCAAATTTTATTGTAGAGAAATGACCCACGCATTGAAACTTGAAATTACCTTCTGCCCAGGGACCTGCCGTACACAAGCAGTATTCTCAGCATCGTGCCACTGACGTCAAGCACGGGCGAGCTACAGATCTGCAATAGCCGATCGTTTTCTATAGAAACCGGACCTGCCCATCCTCAATACCCAACCTGCAACCACAATGCCGCAAAACGACCCAAATTCTGAAACCCTGCAGCCGGCAAAGCTTTGCAAAGCTCCTTGACCTCTTGACCCCAAGTACCTGCACCGAGTCTGCAGTCTCCGCCCGCTGCCGCGGCTGCTGTTCCGGCGGGAGGAAGCGCCGCATTGCCTGGATGAGAGCCGAATGGACCGGTGTGCGATGAACGCACACTGCGTGAGCAGTTCGTAGAGGTGCTGTACGCCTGCTTTGGCTGGCTTTTGGACAAACCTACGCGGGCCGTTGGAGTGAAAGTTCCCGCAGCTGCCAAAACCCAGCTTCGGGTATACCATCGCGCAAAACCACAAACTCGATGAGCGCATGGCCGCAAGGCACAGCTCGATGCGGAGCAGTCTAATTCACTGACTCAGAAAGCTAACACATCACTAATTAATCGCATTCCCTCATAATGACTATATACTTGTAATATGCACTGGCCAACGTACAAGTTCAAGTTAATCGGCCTCTATATTACATTCGGATATCTCACAAGCCAAGGTAGTTAGGTCTGTTGGAATGGATATCGGAAGTGCCATCCAAGATCTTTTGGCATGGCTTTGCGAAAGTCGAGCCTGTGCCCATCAGGGTGTCGTAGCCTTATTTCGAACCTAAACCCTAAACCCTAAACCCTGAACCCTAAACCCTACTTTTCACTGGCTTGGTGTGATTGGTTATGACACTGTGCCCGCGCACCTGCTCAGAAAGCTCGGCCCATGTCCTGCGATATAGGGATTCTACGACCCAGGAGCGATTAAGGCCCCTAAACCCTAAACCCTAAAAGGCCCTAAATCCTAAACCCTAAACTAGGCGCAATGCGGAGTCCCAAGCGGTAGGCCCGAGGTATGCAGGACGAAGCTTACAGGGATCTGGGTTAAAGATTCCTCCATGGGCACTCGCTAAAGAAGAGGCGTTGCCCCTCAAGATGAGCTAACCGTCTAAGACTTGTAGCAACCCCCGCAACGCTCCACCCTAAACCTTAAACCCTCAACCTCCACCCTCCACCCTCAACCCTAAACCCTGCCCCCCCCCCCCCCCCCCCAAAGAAGTCCTGTAGCCCTGGCCGGCGCGGAGCTCACGCGCAAGCGTTTTGGAGGCACTCCGGAGGTCGAGGCTGGGGGACCTGGGGGCTTGAGGCTTTTCTTTTTCGGGGTGGAGTTTAGGGTTTAGGCAGGGTTTAGGGTTTAGGGTTTGGGGATGTTTGGGGTTTAGGAGGGTTTTCAGGGTTTGAGGGTTGCTGAGAACCCTAAACCCCAAACCCTAAATTTGCATCCTGGGGCTTAGGCTGCAGCTGCTTGGCCGACCTTGCAACACAGGGACCGGAATTCGGTTCGAGGCGATGCGGCGACAAGAAGTGATGCTGCTGGTTTTCTAACCATCATGCGAAGGTCAGGTGAGAAAGGATTGCGACACATCTTCGGGGGTTGAATGTTCATGCTTCCCTAAACCCTAAGCCCTAAACCCTCATCAGCACTGGGCCTCAACCCGTCTTTGTCTCCTGAGCCTTGCCGCCCTAAACCCTAAACCCTAAACCCTAAACCCTATACCCTAGGGGGGCCCTCTGAGCTCGCGTCTTGGGCTGCTGCTTCTCTTGCTGCAGAAGGGCCCTCCTGCGAACGGCGCGCGCCTCTTACGTCGGGGGGCCTCGAGGTCATTCTTTGGTTCAAGCGAAGGGTATAGGCGCATGCACCTCCCATAACCTCCCGAGCCCCTGTATTCGGTCTCAGCTTGTGAGTTCAGAGTTTAACGGCCAAGTGCAAGCACTTTCCACACTAGCAAGGGGATTTAGCGTTTAGAGTTTAGGGTTGTCCTGAGGCACAGGTGCAGGACGGTCGCAGTCTCATCGACGTCTTCGCGCTGGCCAAGCAAAGCCTCCGGCGAAAGGACTTTGGACACACTCTCAAAGGCTCAGCAGAGAAGAATTCAAGGGAAGCAGCAACTTGAAGATGGGTTGCTGGGCTGTTCTGAATACTTGTATTGACGCGCAACTTATGTGGACTTGCGGTCGATTTGGAATGGCTTAGACATGGTCCGGGGTTAGGGTCTGTCGGCGTACGCTTGGGGTTTCGACTCTCCCTGTCGCGTGGGGAAGGCCAGGCACATGCTTCATGCTCCACGCATCGCAATGCTGCTATGCTGCACCAACATCTTGACTGCTTTCCAAGCAGCGCGACTGCATGCCAAACCCTAATCCCTCAAACAACCAGCTGGGTTTCGCCAGCTCGCGTTGCTTCAAGGTGTATCCTTGCGTAGAGTTGCTCCATGCACCCCTTGGCAAGCAAAAACCCAGTTAGCACTTTCCGCTTGCAAGTGTATTCCCGCTACGAGTCTAGGTTTATCTCTTTCATAAACCATCATAAGCCCCCACCCCTAGTCAGGTCCAAGCGGCCTCATAGACGAGCTCCAAAGGTCGCTGTGCCTAACAGAGTGAACAGGCAGACAAGAAAGTCCTGCAGTCCAAAAACCTCGAATTCCTGGCGGGTAGATGTTAGTTGTGCTAGTCCCACATTGCTTCTTGGAGGTTCGTGGGTAGTTCTGAGTAGGGTTCTAAGTAGGGTGGCTACCCTTACAGCTATACTTATGACCTTACTTGTGGTACGTTTAACCCTACTTAGAACTACCCATGAAGCTCCAGGTACTTATGCCTCTGCGGATCTACGGTCGATAGCCCGAACCCTGCACGGACCTCGACCCAGGACAGCTTTGGCAACTCGTCCAGCAGATGATGTAGGCTAGGTAGGCGGACACAGCCAGCCACCTCTGATACAGGGGTTGTGCTGGAGATTTAAGTGGAGTTTATACCTAGAACTACAAGTCTGGCTGTTGACTCAAGCTTGGGGAGCCCCTATTTGCTGTGAGTGAGCACCTCGTCGGTTAGACTACACGCGCCTTGGTGGTGCCATGCAGCCAAGCTCGAAAGGCTCTTACCATGTGCAGAGATGAGGCCGTGCCCGTGCAGCTCCTGTTTTCACAGCACAAAGTCTGAATTCCCGGCGCAAAGCCACGTAGTCGGAAATGTCGGCATCCGTGGCCGCAAGTCCGCCAGCGCTCAACCTTCGGTGGCAAGGGATCTCCATCGAATTGGTTACATGTTCCATCACTCGCACTGCTCGAGGAAGACAGGAGTAAGAACAATAATAATAAGAGAATAATAATCAAAATCGTACTCATAATAATAATCAGAATAGTAAGGGCTGCCAAGGATCAAGGCTTTCAAGAAGGAGACCATCGTGAGCGGACCTTGGGCCGGTACAGAGAGATCACAGTTCAAGTCTGGCTCGGTGCCTGCCACGCAGCATGACACAGGGGCACCCCTAAACCCTAAACCCGAAACCCTAAGCCCGGAACTCTAAACCCTGATTGCTTGGCCGAAGTGCAGATGGAAGCTTGCTGCCGCCCTTCATTGGTGAGGACCGGCTTCGGCTCCGGCACGATGTCTCGGATGCGCTGGGAAGGTTTCGGATCCGAGAGTTTCGAGTTTCGAGTTTGGGTTTAGGGCTTAGGGCTTAGGGTTTAGGGTTTAGGGTCTAGGGTCTACCGCCACCCCCAACTGCAAAGCTCCCGTGCGCTCTGCTACTTGGCAGCAGACCGCCAGCTTCGCCAGTGCAGCACCCGCGGACACTTGGACAGTGAGGTTTGCAGAAGCAAGGTCATTTTAATATTGCAACAATAATGAAAATATGGTTTATAATAATTGTATCAAATTCATTAGTAAAATGGGTAATAAAAAAAGCAAATATTGCAATCATTAGGCCGTGAGAGCCTCAAGCTTGAAGAAACTGCGATCAGGGAAAACTCGTAGTCTTGGCAAGGATAGCCGTCACAAACCTGGCAGCCTTGTGCCGAGTCAGTTGAATCTATTTAGCCTAAGCTCCCCCCATGCCATCCTACCGCTCCAGCACTTCAAGCCCAATCAACGCCGACAAGGCTCGCTTCATTATCAGGGCTTGGCGAAGCAGCCGCAGGTCTGCCGAGCATGAAGCAGTGGATTTCTTCTGTGCTGCAATCCCCACAACACTGAAGCCTCTGCACAGGACCCCTCCCAAAAGTACCTCCAGTGTGGATCTCCGCTATTCTCACATCCCCGCATTCCCCTTAAGCCGGCCACACCAGTCTCCTGCATTCACACGCAAACGTGGGCCTGGCCTTCCCAGCCTTGGCGACAAGCGTGGATTGTTTAGGAATGCCCCAACCCGCCTTGAAAGCCCCCAATCAAACCCAAAGTTACACATGAACTGCTACACTCTACCTAAACCCCCAAAGTGTGCAAAATTATTGCCCTTTTATGGTTTTGGGCTATTTACATACTTTGGGGATCGGGTAGACCTTAGACAGCTGCTTTTCAAGACACCATCCCCCCCACCCACCCCGCCCCCCCCTTGGAGGGGACCCTCAAACAGGTTTAGAGGATGCTTAGGGTTTAGGGGCTTCTAATTCCTGAGGTCACGGTAGCCCTCGGAACCAGAGGCATATCCAAAGCGGGATCGACCAAGCTGGGCTGACCCTGGTGCCACATACTTGCCAACGAAACACCTCGCCCGCCCACCCACCCATCTCAGGGCACGACCGAAGTGCTTGAGAAACTCCTCCAGGGCAGACTCGTTTGGAAAGCTTCCATTCCTTGGCAGAATTTGGGAAGCAAAGCCAGGAAAAGCAAAAAACAAAGTGTGCATGGCAGCTCAAGTCTCTAAGTCCTGGGGAAGGGGACTCCATGGCAGCCAAGGCGCATGTCTGCAGCCACTCGCTTGACAAAAGTCTCCATCTCTTTGGTGTCCTAGCCGGCGCGTGATAACGGCCAGTTGCATTCAGGCCTAAGTGCCCTGCCGCGCTTCTGTACATGGAAGTCCCCATGTCTCCTGCAGCACCACGACTTCGTGGTATCCTGGGGCTACGTTTGACAGATCCGGAAATAATTCATTGCGGTGACCATAGGGGCCCGAGCCATGTACCCTGCTGACTATGAGGCTCTGATTTTGCACCCCGAACCCAACCAAGACCTGCTTGGAGGTTCATGGGTAGTGAACAGTAGGGTTAGAAGTATGGTTCTACTATTAACCCCCCATGTAGGGTACTTACAGCTACCAAATGAACCTCCAAGTATGGGTCCCACGCGACGTTCAAGCAGAGGCACCCTCTTCGGACAGGGGAGCTGACTTGCCATCCACCTCTTGGCCTCCCACGTCCGAGGGAGGTTCGTAAGGTAGCGTTGTGGGTTTCTGCGCACCATCTCCGAAGAGCGAACATTGGGCGCCAGCGTGAAACAACACACAGCACTGCAAGGCCAGGACACCATCACGGCAAAACCCCAACACCCAAACCCCGTTTAGGGCTCAGGTTTTCCGTCTGTGCGTGTCTGGAGCAGAAGTTCATGGCTTATCATCGGGGAGTCTTCAGCCTTCGGGATAGCTGGCTCGTTAACAATGTTGAAGCCATTGGGGTGCTGCCCAACCTGCGAAGAATCAACTCCTGGACCCAGATATTCTTCTCTCCAGCCTTCGTCCAGCTTCAGGGGACGCCCCGATGGGCCAACTCGCTCCGCCTGCGAGGGAGGAGGGGGGCGTGGTTTGGGGTGGGTACCGAAATGCGGCTGAAACCTCAACGCCACATTTTCAGGTCCCCAAGCTTGCTCCCGCCTCACTTCTGTATTCCCTTATGGTTCCCACATCACAATACGATTCTAACTATTCAGGCCCCATGTTAGAATGCTCTGGCGCGCCTCGTACATCTCCTTGCGGTGTGTGGCGAGGTCCTCTTGCTTGTCAGCATTCTTACGGGCCTCCTAAACCCAAAACCCAAAACCCTAAACCCTAAACCCCTTTTTCGCCCCCGACGGGCCCAAGGTTCCAAAAGTTCCTTCTACAGTAAGGGCACCCCTTTTGACCCTAAACCCTAAACACTAACCCTAAACCCTATGTTTTTTTTCTCCCAATTTGGTCTGGGTGGGGGATGCCCAAACCCTAAGCCCTAAACTGCCCTAAACCCTCAACCCTAAACCCTTTTTTATAAACCCTCGCTCTCTCTCTCTCTCTCTCTCTCTCTCTCTCTCTCTCTCTCTCTCTCTCTCAGGCTTAATTAAAACCCTAAACCCTAAACCCTAAACCCTAAACCCTAAACCCTAAACCCTAAAAATGATGAACGTCCCCAAAGCATCTCCAAAAGCCCAGGGCTCCTGCAGCACCAGCCGGCGGTCCCGGTCTGAGCCAGAGTGTGAGGGCCAATCGAAGGCGCACCACGTGAGGGGCCTCTTTGGGGGTGGGGGGGGGGGGTTTAGGGTTTAGGGTTTAGGGTTTAGGGGTTAGGGTTTAGGGTTTAGGGTTTAGGGTTTAGAGTTTAGGGCTTAGGGTTTAGGGGTTCGGGGGGATCGGTTTCGGCCCCCTTGTCTCCAAGAGACAAACGGGATTTTGGGGGTTCATAGGTGGAGGCGCGGAGGAGTTGGGGGCGTCGAAGGCTCTTGCGCCTGGGGATTTGGGGCTTAGGTGTTCAACATGGTTTGGGGCCAGCAACTCCCACTTTACAAGCCTTAAACCCCGTGTTGTCTCCGCAATCCTTGATTGTGCGTGGGACTTCCGTCGTCCCTGAAGCCCTAAACCCTAAACCCTAAACCCCAAACCCTAAACCCTAAACCCTAAACCGAAAACGAGCCCGGAGCCCAGTGCGCAGCCAAGGCTCGGCAACACTTCGCAAGCGTGGCTGCCTGCAAGATTTCTGCAACATGGCGCGCATGTTTGTCTCGACTTTATGAAGTATGGTTTAGGGTTTAGGGTTTAGGGTTTGTCTATATTTCTTGTACCCCCAAAAGGACACCCAAGGTATACACTCACCAACATGAAAGAGGAACCTTATATACACTCACCAAAAACAGTAATATAAACCCTGCTGCGACATGTTCTGCGGACTCAAGCCTTACACCCAGACGGTTCTTGTCCGCAACTTCGGGCATTATAGAGTGCTCTCCAGGTCACTTGCCACAGCTCATGTAATCTAGTCAACGCCGTTTGATGCTACGAGGCCTCGGCACTTGATTCTTGCGACCCTGCTTTAACTGAGCTTCAGATCAAACAGAATCCCAGTTCCCAAAGGCTAAAACTGCCCTAGCCTCACAATTCATAGAGCCTCCCTGGTCGCGGGCCTCGGAATTTTACCGCCAGAGTCCGTGTCGGCGACCAGTTCTCCACGCGGTATGGTGGCGGTTCGTCCTGGGAGGTACAAGCAAGGGACACTGGGCGTGCTGGGTTTACAAAGGACCTGCCTTAGAATTCTAAGGTGTAATAAGACCTAAGACCTAAACCAACCACCCTGGATTTTAATGTCCCTAAAGCCACATCCGTTAGCCTTGAACCAACTTCAGTCAATACAATACAAGAGCACCCTGTGCCCCAAGACATCATGATGCCATCAAGGCAGCAGCGGATGGCAGGAGGGCGTGCCTGCGCGTCGTCAAGCCTGAAGCAGCCAAGGCGCGCTAAGCATCATGAAGGCTGTGCTGTTCAGCACCTGGGCTGCTGTGGAGTGCTTTGAAAAAAAAACTGTCCAAGCCGGAATGTTCTTTCACAGGGGACTCCTGCTCATTCCACTCGCAAGGCTCCCGACAGCTCTGCAGGGCACTTGCACAAAGCTTCTTGCTGAAAGCAAGGACAGGCTCTTCCCTTTTCCGCGCCACATGGCTGCATTGTTGCTCAGAGTCTTCATCAGCAGCACTCATAATTTCGGAGACCCCGGTGTCAAGACCCTAACCGTTGGGCCCTAACCCGTGCGCCTGCACGGAGCAGCGAAGGAAGTTCACCTGGCCAGAGCTACTACTCAGGCAATTGGGCGCTGTTAACATGCTTGTTCTTTCTTTTTTTCTTTCTTTCTTTGTTTCTTTCGTGTTTGTCTTCTCTGTCTCTCTGTCTCTCTTTCCGGTGGTGCGCGGACCTTGACATCCAGCTTCAATGATCCTTCTGAATGCTGCATGTTTAGAAGTTAACCCGTAGCCTTTGCCAGCAAGCTGGCAATCAAAGCCTAAACGCCTACTTGTTCTGAGGTTCAGGCGCTTTTGGCATGATGCTTCATATCCGTGATCCTTCGCTGGAACTTTATGAGGTAGACAAAAGCAATGCCCTTTCTCAACCATTTCCCAACCCCTCCCGACAAAACGAGCCCAGTGCGACGCAGGACTCGTCCCCAGCGACCGGGGAGCGGAGGGAGATCACGGACTCGCAGGCGGAGTTCAGGCTAAGCCAGCCTTAGAGGGCAACGAGAGAGGCGAGGGGGGGGGGTTTTTCAACTCAGGGTTCAAGGGTTGCAGTGCCCGGAATCCGCTTCAAGCAAGGAAGCCATCATGTTTCGACCCGTAGTTCCGGGAGTTCTTGCAAACTTCTTTGCTGCAAACCGCCCCCACAAGAGCACACACACACACAACTTGACTGCCTGAAGCCACACCTGCTAGACGTGGAAGAACAGTGGCAATTTGCTCCCACACTTCACTGGCTTTCTTCATGCATCCCTCTTTGCGGGGCTCGAAAAGCTGACTGGTTTTGATCGGGCAGCGGCTCCATGGTAAGCCGGCCGCCTGGCAACCCAAGCTCAAGGGGACTTTTCAAGGGTTCAGCATCGGATCATACAAAGGACGCCTTCCCCCAAATCATTGCCTAGGGCTTGGAAGGATGAGTATCAGCTGTTCATGGCCCTGGCCCTCAAGTATCATGCAGTATCCTCCTAGTCATCTTCCCAACAGGAAAGCTGTCAGTCTACCAGACGAAGGTCAGCGCAAGGTCTGCAATCCCGACATCTACCAACCAGGTCCTACCTACAAGGGTGCCCTTTTCCGTATTTCTTCTGTTGAGTTTCATAAAGAGGAACCCAGAGCCCCAAGAAGGGTAAAAAGGGCACCACTGGGCATCCTCGACATGAAAGGGACCCTAAACCCTAAATCCTAAACCCGTTTTTGCAACTGGGACTTGGTGACTGCCAGAAAGGAATCCCCTCTTCATACGCCCTAAACCCAAAACCCTAAACCCTAAACCCTGAACCCTGAACCTTAAACCTCAACCCGGTCCCCAATTTCGGGCCGGAGCCTCTCCCAGCTCGGCCATCTCATTGGCAGGATCCTCACTCTTGCCTTGGCGGTCCATAATCACAATGAAAAATCATATAATTGTAGTATATATATATAATATAATATAACACCTATTTCAAACCCACATATTATATACTTCTCATATACATACCATGTAATTGTAATAATCGTGTAATAATACTGAATGGGGGCGACCCCCCCCAAAGGCCATCTGCACCGGGACTGAGGGAGCATTCGAGCTACTGCGTTCTACGACCTGGAGCTTCTGCAAATTTCCGGCACGTGCGTCGTTCACCCTTGTATCCCGCAAAGCTTGGGGTACTGTGCTTCTTCCTGGAACCTGAACCACCAGCCTCGAAGTGCAGACCCTAGGGTCCTGGGAGTTCGACATGCCAGCCCAGGCACTCCTTGCCAAGAAGACCACGCAGCCAACGCCGGCGCCGTTCAAGTTCAACTTGCCAGCCTATGAGTTGGAGTGATGTTTACCCTACACCCTAAACCCTAACCCTAAACCCCACTATGCTTAGGATTGAAAAAGTGCAGGCTTGAATGCGTTTGGGATCCTGAAGCCTCGAAACCTCGATATCATCCTGGACCTGGGAGCGAGCAACAAGGGCCTGGAAAGGGCAGCGAACAGTGTCATCGAAGGATCATCGACGACGACTACTAATTATTTCTAGATCTGCTACTCTACTTCTACTTCTGCTACTTCTACTACTTTGCTACTTCTAGTACTTCTGCTACTACTACTACTACTACTACTACTACTACTCCTCCTACTACTCCTACTGCGACTCTACCACTACGATTACGACTTCTTCTCCTCCTGCTGATGATGACCAGCGCTCGATGGTTTGGTTTGGGGGTGAGAATGCCCTGACTCGCTCCCTCCGCATCTGGCCTCCGCGTGCCGCCAGAAAATCCTTAGCTTCCCGGCTACCCAAAGTTCCTTAATTAAGGGTACTGGGAGCTCTTCTTCTACAGCTTCTGTTTCGGTCGCTTTCCGGCCTACAGTCGTGCCATGGGCGAACCATACATTCCCTTATGTTCCCCCCCGCCACCTCCCACCAACAGCCGGCAAGCGTCTGCATCGACACTTCGGTCCGCTGCCGCTTTCGCAGGTCCACGCCCTGGCGCCCTAAGACCCTAAGGGACCCTAAGGGACCCTAAACCGTTCTAAGCCCAAAGTTTTCCAGCATGTCACCCCATCACTGGGAGCAACTGCACAGAGGCCTGGCAATGGGTAGGTTCCTGTGTTTCAGTGTGTGCGATACTGTTGATGGAGGAAATCTTGCACCGCTTTATATGGCCAAGCAAAGTAGAGACCCCGCGCCCCCTTTTTAAAATTGATTGTTCTTCCTCGGAAGCGCCGTGGGTTCCGATGACAAAAATCTTGCACCACCTCAGTGTCCATCATCGTCAATATTAAAAAGGGGGTGCGGGGTCATGCTCATGTGTCGTGTCACTTGTTATTCAATAAGTGGTGCAAGATTTCCTCCATCAACCGTATGTCTCTGACTCAGATACCCGTTGTGAAATATACGGGGCTAGACGGTCAGTTAAAACGAATAGTTTCTGTACTTTGTGTTGTCATTTCAAGTAAACGTCGGGATTCTGAGGGAATGATACAGTTCTTTAAAGCGCCTAGGCTGCAGGGTTGGTGGAACCACGGGTGGTCCCCGCTCCCGAATCTCCCTGATCAGATCGGAACCAACTGTGACCTAGTGCCTCACCTGCACTCAGGTAAAGCTCAGCCTACCTCCACTCGACCTCTGCAATCCTGACTTCCGGCGCGGCCTGCGACAATTTCGTCCACGGCTCCTTCAACAGCCATTTTGCCGGCTCCACGGTGCCCGTGTTTGGAAGGCCTTACGGGTCACTGCAGGGACATACAGTATGTTTCAGGTTGAAGATTGACAGATTGTATGCTCGGCCTAGAGAGTCAAGTGACAGCCACGTACAGCGCACAGCCCCAGCCTATTCAATCCTAGCAGGTCCTACAAATGCCCACGCACTAGGTTCGCCAGCAAACCTAGGAAGGTTTAAGGCAGCTTAACCCTCAGGACATACAAGGCACCATGGGGGATCCTAGGCATCCGATGTCTTGCGTAAAACAAATCCGTGTATGCTGGCTCCAGGGGCCAATCCAGACTTCCGCTGGCCGGCTCAGCACCACCTCCCCGAAGTCGAAATCCTGGCATTGCCATGAAGGGCTCAGGGTTTTATTTTGCCACCCGCCCAGCACTCGCGGCTCAGGGGTTCAGGGTTGTAGCGTTTGGGGACATGACTGGTCTCAGAGAACAGAACTGTTCATGGTTGGGATAGTATTTCAAAAGGAAAATTTCTATTGCTTAGGGAGTTTAAGTACCCTTAAAAATGTGAAATGTCCCACTATGACAAAGACAACAGTTCCAGTGCCACGCCGTGCCTTGAGGTACTCTCCGCGCAGGCACAGCAGCCGCCCCTCCTCGCTGGAGCCGAAAGAGGAGCCACACGTTGCTTCAAAACGTCTAATATAGGGGCCCTGAATTTGAATAGGGTTTTGGGGGCTACTATAGTATAGTAATAAAGGGACCATAAGGGAATACTAGGAGTAACTATTCCGGCCCCTATAGTAGGTTCAGCACTGTCACTTTGTATTCGATCTTGGGATACGTGGCGGCGGCAATCACTAGTGGCAGACATCGCCTTCGCAAGGATCCGCATGCTCTGCGGCAGTCGTCCGAGCTGCACCAGCTTATCCCTGTACGGAAGAAAGCCTCGAACAAGAAAAGCCATGGGAATAGGGTTTTGGGGGTCATTATAGTACATTATCAAGGGACCATAAGGGCATACTATGAGTAATCCACCCCTCCCCCCCCCGCCCCCGGAGTTGCAGTTGCTGACGCAGAGAAAGTAAAGTGTTGACATGGATGCCGCCTCCAGTCGACACACGGTCGAGGGCCAGAGGGTATTTGTACTTCACGGAGATCATCCTGTGTCGGAGAACACAGGTTCAGGACCACCTACAGCTTGTGACGTTCTTCTCTTGCAGTCGAACGACCATAAGTTTACGATGTGGGGCGTTCCAGGGTAAACCAAGGCCAGGCATCTTGAGGCCCAGACTGGCAAGGTCAACCCCGGGCCCTAAGCCCTTCTTTGTTGTATTTGTATTTCACTAGTTTTGCTTAACCCCCCTAAACCCTTGAGCCTTTCCTGTTTCACTAGTTTTGTTTAACCCAGGACTGCTGAGGCTCCGGGGCCCCAAACCCTCAACCCTAAGCTCAGCGCTCGGCTGGAGCAATGGCCGCCCTGGAAGGCGCAAAGCCACTGCCTGCGTTGGAAGCGGCCGTAGCATCGAGCTCCATTGTGAAACCTACAGCCTTTGACGGATTTGTAGATGTTTCGAGTTTGAGTTCAGGGTTCTTTTGCTGCGCATTCCTCGGTACGCTTTATCGTCCGTAATAACACCACCTGCTTGGTAACGAATGCCCCGTACTTGGTTGCACGATCATGCCTCTCTTGAGTTTGGCTTCTTGTGTGGAATGCCGGCTGCCCGCTTGCAGCTGGTAGAGGTGTCCGGCTTGGGGGCAGGAGGTGTAACCCGAAGCCCTAAACCCTAAACCCTAAACCCTAAACCCTAAACCCTAAACCCTAAACCAAAGCCAACAGGCCTGATCCCCCAACGCACGCAGCTCTCAAGTCCGGCCTTGGCACCCTTGCGCAGATCCGATGCCTTTTTCAGCTGATGGGTTTAGGGTTTGGGTTTAGGGTTTAGGGTTTAGGGTTTAGGGTTCAGGGTTCAGGGTTCAGAAGGAGCACTGGGGGTGGATGGGTGCCACTGAGGCGATTTGTGGGGGAAAGAGAGAAGAGCAGTAAATGTCTGGTAGTCGGGGTTGTGGTGTTCTGACCTGGAGGATTGGAGATTTTGAAGTCCAGATGTTGGTTGCACCTAGTCCGTCATGACTCCGCCCTTTCCACCCGTGACTTACCCGGAGCCTGGCAACGCGTTGGGAAGTGGAACAGCGCCAGGCCTCAGAGCCACAACGCTCTTTGGTGTCGAGGGCTTAAGCCCGCAGTGAATCGTGGCGAAGTGGCTTACGTCAGACGTGTTGATTCGATGCGGAACGGGGCCACCCCTAGGGTGAAGCACAAGAAGACCCCAGCTTCAGGCAAGAGACTTGCGCCAGGCGGCACCCAGATCGCCTGGATTAGGGTGCAGGGTCTAGCTCTTACAAGCTGGTTCCTCAAAGTACGGGCGGGGATCGTCGCAACCGAGATCTCTTTTGAAGATGTAAGTGGGAGTAAGCATGAGAGACAAACAAGTTGCAACCCAGATTCACGGGTGTTCAGGATATAGTGCTCAGAGCCTCACTTCTTCTGTTTCTCGAAAATTGTTCCCAGAGTTTGATCCATCAACCTCTTGCCGGCACCGCTCAAGAAAAAAAAACACACGCCGCCTTCGGGTCATTGAAGCCCCGGAACTCGCCCCACTCGGTTTTTGAACCCAGACTCTTTACGCTAAACACTAAAACCATACTAAACCCCAACACCTCCTTCTCGTCGTCTTGCGCGATGAAATCCGCGATCGAGAGAATCCGACCTGGCCATGGGCTCCAGGCTTCTACCAAAACATATCTTGGGTTGTGCGAATCGACATAACACTTTTTGAAACTCTTGGTCACTAACAACAAAGCAACCTCGCATCCGATACCGAGAGCTGATCTTTTGAGTATTTCTTCAATTTTTTCAACTTCCTGGGGCCCTACAGTAGCAGGTAGCATAAACCTCCCTAGGGCTCATCTACCTGAATAGGGATTACGTAGTAGAAGGTATATGACCCCCAATTTTAGGGTTCATTTGGTCCCCAAGGCTACCTACCTTTCGGTTGCCGTGGGTTTACGTACCAAGCTTGCCAACATCAGGGTTGACGATCATCAAAGACCGCTAAGTATAGACCCCAAAATAGTAGGATCCCCCACAATAAGGCCCTATCAGGTACCCTCAATTTTTAACCCCCAAATCAGCGGCCGATGCTTTGACAGGGTTTTGGTTTAGGCATTCGGAAAAAGGTCGAAGCTGCACGAAAACCACGTGACATGATGTGAAATGCCTTGAAATCCCTCCGTGGCAAGCCGGTTTAGTAGGAACTCCATTTGGCCCGGGTTTCCACACTTCCATGCCTGCACTGCTCCATGCAAATCTACATTGTACCTCGCTGGAACTGACCGCTTGTCCCTGACACGCCTGCGTGCTCCTCGACTATGTCAGCGCTGCGAGAAGGCACTTCAGGCCAGTTGGCATCATTCCTGGGACTGGTCTAGAAACCAATGAACCCCAAGCCCTTCAACATGTTCTGAAACAGCATGTCCTATCCACCCCCCCCAACCCCGACAGGCTCGCTTGCACGACTCCCGAAGACGTTAGAGCAGATCTAAGCTCCCTGAGCCATGTCGCGGTGGGAGGAGCGCTGGTAACACCTGGACATAGCTCGCAGAGGCATTTCCTGAGCACGCGGGCCGGGGTTGATGCGAGCACGGCACGATTTGTTCAACTTGCTATGCGGTTACAGTACGATAGCAGCAGCTGGCAGCTGGTGCTCGCACTATGAAGTTTGCATCTTCCAGGAGACGTGATCAGGGTTAAAGGCGGAGTGGAAAAACCCTTCATGGAGGGTTCCGGTTGGTGTTTTATGCCTGCTGTCGAAGTAGTACATTCTTACTTGTGATGAACCAGCCCGGCATCACAGCCGTTACGCCAAGTGATATGTCGAAAGGCCCTTTGAATTGAGTCTCCAGTTTTGTGATGGATCTACACAGTGCATGCGCTAGTGGTGCGACAATTCCCGTTGTGGCATGACTAAACGCGTGTGGATTACATGTCAAATGTATGTGTGCATATAAATGTATGTATATACATGTTCTTGTACACAGATATCTATATATATATGTATATATGTATATATGTATATATGTATATATGTATATATGTATATATGTATATATGTATATATGTATATATGTATATATGTATATATATATGTATATACGCATATACGCATATATGTATATATGTATATGTATACGTATACATATATATATATATATGTACAGGTTATATGATCTAGAACATAATGTGTGCTGTATATTCTGCTCCGAGTCCTGAACCCCAACCAAGCACTCAAGGGCAAGGCGCGGAGGACAAAGCGCGGCGTCACAGTGACACCTTTGGACTGCGTGAAGAGGCCCATCAAAGGATGAACCTGCCGGATGCCCCTTTAGGGTTTAGGGTTTGGGGTTTAGGGTTTAGGTTTTAGGGTTGAGGGCTGAGGGTTTAGGTTTTAGGGTTTCCTCGGCGCTGTCCCTGTATCTGAGCACTTGAGCGCGACTGCACTGTTTTGCACTGTGAACTGGCACATCATCGGTCTAGGGCCTAGGGTTTAGGGTATGTTTCCACCTGCCTGGCTGACACTCTCAATGCACTGCAGGGCCATAGTTTAAGGGTTTTGGGTTTTAGGGCTTTAGGGTTTACAGCGTCTCGGTCCCTTGGACGAAGAGCTGGCCTGAACGCCCAGGAACATGGCGAGCGGTGCTTGGGCCGTGCCAGCCGTAATGATGAACTCGCCTGCGACAGAGCTCCCGAACATCTCCCAGACGCCCTTTTGTCATGTTTTCCCTGTGGAAGCTTCCGAGTCTTTACTAATTGGCTTCTTCTTTCCACAAAGAACACATAAGCCTGCAAGAGTGAGCCCAATATACCCGATGTAGGGGGAAAAACCCAGGGCCCCATTACATCCTCTAAGTACATGTCCACTGCGAGCTGCGAGCCATACCGCAAAGCACACCTAGGGGATAGGATTAAGAGGACCCTTGGGGATATAGACCCTCTGAATAAGGTCCCTGTTTAAGAGAACCCGAAGAGGGTTAAGAACGGGTTCCCTTTTAAGGGTCCCCCTTATCCTACCTAGGACACCTCCTTGGCAGCATGAAAACCGCCTTGTGGCCCTGAGCTCGACGTCCTCCAAGCCCTCACTAGACTCACGCAAACCGACCATTCAACGTTCCACGAGCACTTGAACAGCCAAAGAGGCTGGAAAACCCCGAGCCCTTATCAGCCTTGATCAGGAACTTGCACAGGGATGCCGTCCGAACACCAGGCATTGAATAAGCCGTCCTGAAGGCAGAGTTGTCCGAAAGTCGCTGAAAACCCGAGTTCAGGGTTTAGGGTTTTGGCTGAAGATCTTTTAGACTCAACAAGAGCCAGACTTCTTAGGGCTTCGAGGGATGTTCCACGAGGCTCAGCCGGATTCATGAAGCATGGTAGGCACACCCAGTCCATGAGTCCCGACATTCCGCTTTCAGGGCTCTTGTGGGCAAGAAAAATACCAAAGGCCGAAAACATCCAACCCCAGTTTTGCGGGCCAGACTCTGGGATGCGACCGCGTATGCACACCTCAGGGAAACTTCGGGGTGCAGAACTCAGCAGTTTTCAGGACTCGCGGTTAGCCGCTTGCTCCTCGACATGCATCACTACGCACCTGTTGCTGTGCTTGCGTGCCCCCTGCTGATTGTCCGAAGCCTTTTACCTTCTGCCTTCCGGGAACCCTTCAACTACCCAAAGAAAGGCAAACCTTTTCAACCCGATTCCCCATCCTAAACCCTCAGCCCCCCTGTCCCTAAAATCATAAACTCAACACTTCAATCGCCCAAGCGCTCCGTGCGCATCATCCCAGCCAGCGGTGATGCTTGTCTCATCCTGAATATAGCGTCCCTAAACCCCTTACATGCTTGCCCAACTTCCGTGGGTCCAAGAGAAAGAACCAGTTGAGGGTGGTAAGGGCACAGGCACGTATGGTTTCGCTGAGGATTGCGTACAAAGGTTGTTTTGCCACGCGCATAGCTGCGCAAAGGGTGTAGAGCAGAGTGGCTGTCATTCATCCATGGGTGGCTTACAAGGCATGCCGATCGCCAACCAGACCTGAAACCATCCCCAAACTAAACACCAGATGATTATTAAAAATGTGTAAGATACAGTACATGATCCAATACGTCATGTGAAGCTACTCAGCCTCCCTTCCCCTCCCCCCCCAGAATCTATACTCTGTGCAGTCGCCTCCTGCTTGAGTGCCGCCACCGTCTCGCGAAGGCGGCTGAGCCAGTCGACCTGCTCTCGGGAGTTCTGGCTCTTGCACGTGCCGCCGGCTCCATCCAAGCCAAAAGTGCATGCAACCGCCATTGGACACACAGGACCCAGCCATGTTCTACTTTGGGCAGGGATCCTGAGCCCAAGAAGCTCTATCCCTCCACCCTTTTCCCAGACCTTGAACCTCCAATGTAAAACCGTACATCTGAGGTCTCAACCGCCCTAATACCCTTTAAAGCCCCAGCATGACAGCACCTGCGCTTGTCGGCTGGGAGCTCGGAAGAGAAGAGGCTGACCTGTGTCTTCTACGGCTTGGCTTACAGGGGTTGGTGGTTAGGGGGGTCTAGGGCTTTCAGTGAAGGGTTGTAGGTTTCTGTGGGGGCCTGTGGGGGTTATGTCTGAGAAGGTCATGGATGACAAAGGCACCATGGGCTCGGCTAGCTGCATGGTTAGAAGAACCACAGTCGAACCCCACCCCTGCCCATCTCGGGCAGACAGCATTTCTGGCAAGGCACCGCGCCCTGGATCTTCCAGCATGAAGCAGTCCTCCAGATGCCGGCAGGACAAAAGCCCCTAGTTGGGATGTTCGCCCTTATACTAACAGTCCTTAAATGCGAATATAGTACCCCCTTGTTATAATTCCATCAAGGACTGTTGGTATAAGGGGGAACATCCAGGAACAGCCCCTGAAAGGCCATCGCAGACGGCAGCATCCTCCGACGGATCGGCCGGATACTTCCCATTGATGGTGGGTGTCCCAAGCTAAGCAGCTAAACTGCCCAGAAACAGAGAAAATACACGCCCACCAGGAGTGGCGCCCATATAATTTTAAACCCCTTGCCTCTATGCCTCGAATCCCAGCAATCCCAGCAAAGCGAGATCCGACGGCCCAAGACCCCGGCCGCAGCTCCTTCTGAATTTCAACAGGTGGAAGCATCTACTGGGAACCCCTACCTAGGGGGACTTTCTCATTAGGGGCTTTCTTTGTGTCAGGATTCTATGCTATCTCCCTGTGCTCCTTCTCTCCGGCCGCCATGTGTGGCTCTGCAGCAGTGGCGGTACTGTGGGTGCTCAGCGGCCAAACAGCCTTGGCTGCGGAGGGAGGGGGGGGCGGTGTCCAGGCTTTGGCACTGCAAGCACTTCTGGGCTTTTGAGGCATATCGCAAACACGCCCATGTAGATAAAGATAGATTACAAACACATATATTTATGTGTATATATATATGTGTATATGTATACTGTATTTATGATATCCTGCCGTGGATGCAGGCCCTGGTGCTCGGCTGTGCAAGATGTGTGCAATCAGGCTTCTGGGCCCCGCAATCTGTCCGAGCCATGGCTAGAAGGTGCTACACCCCGAAAGCCTTAGGAAACCCTAAACCCTAAACCGAACTCAGGAAACCCTAAGTTCAGCATCCCGAGGATTTGAAACAAAGAGCGGCGAGACGCATGGTGCATTATTGCTGGTTGGAAAACTAGAACCCTAAACCCTAAACCCTAAACTCTAAGCCCTAAGCCCTAAACCCTAAACCGGCAGGCTTTCTCTGGCATCATGTTACTTGAAAGAAGTGTAGGACCCAATCGTTGCCCGCAGACCTTTCATAGGCAGGCAGAATAATCCCCTATGCGACCTGTGACACTCATGAAACCAATGCATGAATTACACTCAGCGACGCAAGGGGCAGAGCCATTCGGAAGGCCCAGGAGCCTCAGGAGGTGGCTTGACTTTAGGGTTTAGGATTACAGTCTGTCGAGTTCCAGGCTTGAGGGTGGTCTCATATGGATTCAAGGTCATGTGCCCGAGAGCCCTCGTTCTCGATGTGGTGAGTTCTGCTTAGGGCCTGGGGGCAGCTTGCTCTTAAGATCCGCAATGCTGCGGCACACCACTATGCCATGAAGCCGACCACCCAATGTAGGGGCCGAGTAATTAGAATGGAGTCTTGGGGGTTATTATAGTACATATTTGTAAAGGGACCCTAGTTTTGGGGGGTTACTATAGTATAACTGTAAAGGGACCCTAAGAGAATAATATGAATAATTAGTCCGACCCCTACAACTCCCCTATATTAACCCCACAGAAACACTGTTGCCAGGCCGCAGCTTGCCATCCTTCAGCGTGACCGCATGCTCAACCCAGTTGAAGATCTTGCTGGTTTCGTTCACTGCAGCTGTGACCTGGGCCCACTGTTTCAGTATCGATGGGTCAGGGCAGGGTGCCTGCCTCAACAAGGACACAGGGCTGTGCACTTAGTTGCGAAAGCCAGTGACTGGACGCGCTGGTGCTTCCTCAACGTTTGCAGTCTTAAAGCCCTACTACATAATTCGCTTGCTACTACAACTGCGAGTAGGGCAAGATGATGACAACACCCCCTTCACATCACCGTCCCCACTCCTTGACGTACCTGTGACGACTGCTGTTGGTACCATGACGACGACTGCGGCCAGTGCAACGACTACAGCTGTGGCAAATCCTAATCCCGACTCCAATCACAATTTACAATGTTTTGATTTTAAAAAAAGTGCACGCAATTCGACCTTTAGGGCTTAAGTTTGCGTTGTTCTTTACTTTTGCAGTTTTAGTTGGAGACGTATGGTGATTTAATATGTAATTTCGTTTCGATTTTTTACAAGTACCCGACTTGGTATGCCTTCATTTTCTGAAACAAGAACTTTATGGCCTTACTCTACGTTCTGTGCTCGCTCTGTCTTCTCCAAGCATTAGAAAAGCAGCGGCAAAAACAAAAGCAACAGCAACAGCACCAGCACCGGCACCACCCATAAACAACAACAGGAACAAGAACAAGGACGACAAGCAAACGACAAGGCCACCGACAACACTCGAAGGAAACTTGCGAGATCTGGCCACACAATTCAAAAGACTGGAAGGCAACCGGAAGCCGACGTCTCCTCCTACTACAACTTCTTCTGCGGCAAGTCCCACCACTACCGACTACTGCAATTCCGCTACTAAGCCCTAAACCTTAAACCCTAAACCTAAACCCAAAACCCAAAACCCTTTTTAGGTGCCGGACACGACAATGAAGGGTTTCTGTGCACGAAGGAAGCGTCAGCTTGGACGATGGCGCCTCTGTAGCCTTGGACACAGGCTTGGCCAGTTCGCAAAATGATCCCTATTTGGGTCGCTGTCAAAATTATGATCCCTTTTAGGGGACCCAAATCATTAGATGCCGTATGGCAATAGGGATCCAAAAAGGGACCATCATTTTGACAACCACCCATTTGGGTACCCTGAATATTGGGAGCCGCCTTACCATAGCAACCCCAAGAATTGGACCATCCTCTAGAGCAGTGGCCACTTAAGAGTTAAGGTTTAGGGTTTGGGGGGTAGGGTTTAGGGTTTAGGGTTTAGGGTTTAGGGTTTAGGGTTTAGGGTTTAGGGTTTAGGGTTTAGGGTTTAGGGTTTAGGGTTTAGGGTTTAGGGTTTAGGGTTTAGGGTTTAGGGATGAACGTTTCAGGGAGTAAGGGATGGAACCGTCAGCTGTTTCTGCCGGATGTGACATGTGATCCGAAGGTTGACGGCTTCTCAAAAGGCTTGCAGCTTTAGACCTGTATCTTGACGCAAAACGGCCTTCAACCCTCCAAGAACTGACAGGGATACTGCTATTTGCCTAAGAACCCCCCAAACATGTAGGATAGCAATCGCTATATTGCCCTTGTAAGGAAGAAGATTTGTTTTGGGTGGCTCTTAATCAAAAATGTAGGAAAGGGGAGGGGGATCCTGCCCGAAATTGCCCATCTTCGCAGGGCCCTCAACCCTAAACCCTAAACCCTAAACCCTAAGCCCTAAGCCCTAAACCCTACCGACTCATTCCGCAGATCTGAGCGGCCTGGGCTCCACCGGTTCCAACACGAACTTCCACCTTTGCCGGTGGTGTAACCTACTATTTGCTTAACAACTCCCCAAAACATAAAGAGTAGTAATCCCTAAATTGCCCTTATGAGGAAGAACATACTGTTTTTAAATTTTTTTTGGGGGGGGAGAATCTTAAGCAATTGGTAGAATTGGGAATCTCTGTCTGTGGCAGGACTGATGAGGGTTTCTACATCACGTGGGCTTGCGAGACCCTCGTCCTCTGACCTTGTTGTGCATGCGCCTCGGGTTGCCTGTGCTTGGTGGTCGTCCCAGAGTACCCGAAACCAAGGCATGCAATCCCTCCTTGGTCCCCCCCCCCCCCCCCCCCGCCCCCCTCCTGCTGAAATGAAGTCCGGCGGTTGATGTTCATGTGGCTTGGCGGATGCTTCACGCCAGACTGTCAAAGTCTCACAGCGGGAAGAGGGGTCTGACTGACTGCACACCCTGAGACTCGACATGAATTTGGCACCCTTCCAGCGTGGACCCGCCTCTGCTCGGAGAACCGCGACCTTGCCAGGTGCCAGGATCCCAACCGGTGCCGTGGCCTCACCTGGGTGCCATTTGTCCAGGCTTCAAACTTTGACTGGGTCACTAAGGGGTGCGTCTTTGCTTTGGCGCGGCTGCGTCCTGTTATGCTTCACCACTCCGCACCACAAAGTGCAGTGGCCTTCAAGTTTCTCTACCAATCTGACGTCTGACACCCTGCCATGGCGCTTTCGCGAGCCACCAAGGGCAAGCCTGCCAGGGACAGGAAGCTCGACGATCCAGGCACAACTTAACCTAGCTCGTGCAGACCTGACCGGCGCATCTTCTCATATCAAGTGTTGGAGGGGCACACTGACCCTGGAAGCGACTTCCGTGAAAGCGGCGCCGCTTCCGGCCTGTCTTGTTGAAGAGAATGCACCTGACATGCATCTGACTTTCTATACTATATGGTGTTTTGTATATGCAATATTTTCTATTGAATACTACTCAAAGGTATTTTAATAAAAGAACGCGCTAGTCTAGAAGTTGGGATCGCAGGGAGTCGTTCGCAGCATCCCAAAATCGAGCACAACCTAACCCTAAACCCTGAACCCTGAATTCAAACCCTGAACTCTGAATCCTAAACCCTAAACCCTAAACCCTGAACCCTAAACCCTAAACCAATGCGAGTTCCTCATCTCCGTGGAAGGGGCAAGGGAAGGGGATGTGCTTTCAGGGGGAAGGGTGTTCCCTAAACCCTACTAACTCTACACCCCCCCCCCAAAGCCACTGCCATAGATTCGATTGCAGCATATTATAATATATTCTAGTATATTACTGTCTGTTATGTAATATATTTTCGTTTATTTTAATATGCTATAGTATATTATAGTATATATGGGTTTGTTATAGTGTATGTTTATATAACAATTACGACCAGGCACTTGCCCACCACAGCGCACTCGGGGCCGGCGCCCGCTGGCCAGCGGCAAAGGAGGGAGCAGGCCTCTCTTACTCCCTATAGGTCTATTTTCGAGGGTAATGCAGACAGTACATGATCTATATATATATATATATATGGGTCACCGCCTATAGCGGTTCCCCTGTGTTTTTTTGCACATTCCCTTAAACCATCCAACCAAGAATCCCTCAAACCATTAAACCAATGGTCTCCCCCTAAACCATTAAACCATTAAATCATACCATTAAACCATTAAACCAATGGTTTCCCCCTTCTGAAAATCCCCTAAACCATGAAGCCATTAAACCATTAAACCAATGGTTTCCCCCTTATGAAAATCCCCTAAACCATTAAACCATTAAACCATTAAACCAATGGTTTCCCCCATATGAGAATCCCCTAAACCATTAAACCATTTTCATGGCGGGCAACCATTGGTTTAATGGTTTAATGGTTTAATGGTTTAATGGTTTAATGGTTTAATGGCTTAATGGCTTGATGGCTTAAAGGTTTAAGGGATTTTCATAAGGGGGAAACCATTGGTTTAATGGTTTAATGGTTTAGTGGTTTAGGGGATTTTCATAAGGGGGAAACCATTGGTTTAATGGTTTAATGGTTTATTGGTTTAAGGGTTTGATGGTTTAATGGTGCTCCTGCCGAGGTACCTCGACCGCATCTTTTCTGCTCCTAAACTTCTGATTCGCAAGCAGTGTCCCCTGCATCCTTTCTGCTCCGAATATTCTGAATCGCAAGCAGTGTCTCCCGTATCTTTTCTGCTCAGAAGTATACGTATACTATATGGGATTGCGCCTTAAACCCTAATTCTTAAACTTTAACTCTATAGGGCTTAAAGCTCCGGGTTTAGGTTGAATTGCCGGCTTAGGTTTAAGTGCCTCAATCACAAACCCTAAACCTGTCAACCTTAACCCTCTAGGGTTGGGGCGCCTACATCATGATCGGATTTGACGAGCTCTGCGGAAATTTCTATATGACAAGGTTATAACTTATTGCTGTGGTTATAACTATGGGTTAGGGTTTGATTTTTAGACACTTATGTAAACCCATAAGAATAAGGGGAGCCCCATCACGCCCCCAACAAGCGAAATATCCCAAATACTTTACCTTAGCTAAAATATCTCAAGCAACCATCCCCCGATACGCAATTCCTGAATTCCATCATTTAACGATATAGTTTGTGTATATGTTGAATCCCAGCAAGTAGTGAAAGTGACGAGCTCTGCGGATATATGTACATGACAAGGTTATAACTTCTTGCTGCGGTTATAACTATGGTTCAGGATTTGATTGATATACATGTAAATTAGCCTATAAGAAAATGAGGGTAACGGTAACCCCATCACGCCCCCAAAAGCAAAACAAAACCTCTATCCTAAAATCTTTACCTTACCTAAGATAGCTCAAGCAAAACAAAAACTCAATCCTAAAATCTTTACCTTACCTAAGATAGCTCAAGCAACCATCCCCCGATAAGCAAAACTTGAATTATCCTCTTTGTTTATATTTTGAATCCCATGAAGTAGTGGAAGGACATTTGCTCACAGTATTCTCGCGTCACCGGGACGAAAGCGCTACAAACGTAGGCATAACCCTATGGGATTCAAGGTTTGGGGATTTGAGCCCCAAGCGCTCTGGGGTTTTAAGGTTCCATTGTATAGGTAGTTAATGCCCAAACCTTAAACCTAAACCGTTAAACCCTATAGGGTTCAATGGTTCGACAACCTAAGGTCTGGGCATGTATACCTTCAGTACCCTTTAGGGTTAAAATCTTTGAACCTTTGGGAGCCCTATAGGGTTTTACGGTTCTGACCCTAAACGAATCAGGGTTAAGGTCTGAATGCCCGAACTTCAAACACTTAAGATTGAAACTTTTCGAGTTTTCGTTTTAAATGCCTAAATCCTAAACCCCAACCCCTTAAACCTTAACTCTATAGGGTTTAAAGGTTCGGGTTTAGGTTGAATTGCCGGCTTAGGTTTAAATGCCTCAATCTTCAACCCTAAACCTGTCAACCTTAACCCTCTAGGGTTGGGGCGCCTACATCATGATCGGATTTGACGAGCTCTGCGGAAATTTCTTTATGACAAGGTTATAACTTATTGCTGCGGTTATAACTATGGTTCAGGGTTTGATTTATATACATGTAAATAGCCTATAAGAAAATGAGGGTAACCCCATCACGCCCCAAAAAGCAAAACAAAACCTCTATCCTAAAATCCTTACCTTACCTAAGATAGCTCAAGCAACCATCCCCCGATAAGCAAAACCTGAATTCTATCATATAACGATATGGTTTGTTTATATTTTGAATCCCAGGAAGTAGTGAAAAGGACATTTGCTCACAGTATTCTCGCGTCACCGGGAAGAAAGCCCTACAAACGTAGGCATAGCCCTATGGGATTCAAGGTTTAGGGATCTAAGCCCCAAGCCCTATAGGGCTTTAAGGTTCTATCGTACAGGTAATCCCTAAACCTTAAACCCTAAGCCTTTAAACCCTGTAGGGTTGAATGGTTCAAGAAAACCTAAGGTCTGGGCATGTATACCTTCAGCACCCTTTAGGGTCAAAACCTTTGTTCCTTGTAGAGCCCTGTCGGGTTTTAGGGTTCTGACCCTAAACGGTTCAGGGTTAGGTTTAACTGCCCGAACTTTCAACCCTTAAGGTTAAATCTCTATGGGTTTAGGTTTAAAGTTTAAAAATGCCTAAATCTTAAACCCTGACCGCTTAACCTTAACTCTATCGGGTTGAACGGTTAGGGTTTAGGTTTCATTGCGGGCTGACGTTTAAATGCCTGAATCTTAAGCCCTAAACCTGTTAAACTTAACCCTATAGGTTTGGGGTACCTACATCATCATCGACTTGTTGCTGTGGTTATGACGATGGTTTAGGGTTAAAATATATACATTTATGTAAACCAAAAAAATAAGGGGAACCGCAATAGGCGGACGCCCATATATATATATATATGTGTGTGTGTGTGTGTGTATAAATATCAAAACATATACATGTATGTGTAATCATGTATGTAGATAACGCGTTCTCTCTCTCTCTATATGTATATGTGTATATTGATATACGTTATGCGTATATACGTATATATGTATATATGTATATATGTTATGTATATATGTGTATATGTATATATGTATATGTGTATACACGTGTTGTTTATGGCAACAACATGGAAAAACAAACACAGGCCTCACAGCTAGGTTTAACGGTCGAAAGGTTTATCTATGAGGGTTTCATGGGATTTCTGCCGTAAGCCCACTCTCTCCGAAACCAAATGCAGGCTAGAGGCCATATTGGAGCTAAGGTCGAGGCGCTCCATCTTCAGCTCCTTTGCCGACATTCCGTGAGCAACAAGACTCCGAGTCTAGGCCCATACCTCCTTGGGTTCCGTGCTGAGTGGCATACAATCAGTGTTCCCGACTGCGCAGCAGGAGGGTTTTCGCTTGAAGAGTTGGGTTCTGCGTTCAGAGAGGTGACCAAAATTGTCGCCAAAGAGTCGCGTTTTGGCACTGTTTCCGTACGTCGTGTGGCCGCGGTAACTGTGGCATCGTTTGAGCGAGTCGTGTAGTGGCTGTACTTGCGGCATCCTGCGACTTGGCATGGTTTGTGCGTGTCGTGCGGGGCCGGTAGTTGTGGAAATCTGCGTTTCGGCATCGTTTACGTGTGTCACATGTTTTTGTGTCGTTCGTGCGTGCGTGCGTGCGTGCGTGCGTGTGTGCGTGGGTGTGTGTGTGTGTGTGTGTGTGTGTGTGCGGGTGTGTGTGTGTGTGTGTGTGTGTGTGTGTGTGTGTGTGTGTGTGTGTGTGTGTGTGTGTGTGTGTTGTGTGTGTGTGTGTGTGTGTGTGTGTGTGTGTGTGTGTGCGTGTGTGTGTGTGTGTGTGTGGGTGGGTGGGTGGGTGGGTGGGTGTGTGTGTGGGTGTGTGTGTGTGTGTGTGTGTGTGTGTGTGTGTGTGTGTGTGTGTGTGTGTGTATGTGTGTGTGTGTGTGTATGTGTTGGGGTGCGCGCACGCGTGCGCGTGCGCGTGCGCCGCGTGCACGCGCCGAGTGGCGCCTGCATCTTCGTGTGCTATTGCGTGTCTTGGCAATTGTCTTGATGTCATGTGCCGCTTGTCATTGGCTTTGTGCTTTGGGTCGTTCTGTCTGCAGCGAGCGTCTTGGCAATTGCCATTAACTCCATTACAATATTATCTTAAGCGACACGCGCATTCTCTAAGTGATACGCGTACCTCATGCTTACATTCAGATTCATGACTTCTCTCAACTTTACTTAAAGCTCATGTCCCAAAATATGGCCAGCTCGTACTTTCCAGGATCTCTGTCTGCCTCCTTCTCACTCCTTCCTTTCAGGGGCCCCAAACCCCTGAAAAGCCCCAAGAACCCCAAGCCCTATGAGCAAAAAAACAAAGAAGGAGAAAGAGTACGAGGCTGCTCTCCTTAAACTTGGCCTTGGACTGAAAGGCGGCTGCTGGCAAGATCTCGGCTCAAGTGCACAAAGGGCGAGGGATTCTGGCCGACAGGGGCTTAGGGTCTCGACTCTGGCACTCGCACACGGCAGGCAGGGCTTCGAGCTAAAGGTTTTATCGCTCACGCTCGGACTGGCGAGGCATGCAGCTATTATTGCTGCAGACCAGCCGCAGTGCAGGGTAGCGCTTCGGAAAGGAAAGCCAGCTCTTCTATTTGACTGACCCTGGAGCAGGTTTAGAAACACTACCTAGCAAGCAACTCACTACCCAAAGTAATCCCCACAAGGCACGGCATAACCGTCCAGGATCAGTCTGTCAGGATACTGTGTACATCACCTCCTAGGGGAGCAGGCCCTTGCCACAGCAAACGACACGCTTCTCCGGTAGGAGGAAGCCGATCTTTCCACAGAATATCTTGGCAGAGCCGCTGCATTCGAGCATAGGCTTGAACATCGTGCAGGAGCCTTGGTAACCCAGTAACCATATGATAATAAGGGAACACCCATTTTTGGCTGGCTACTTTAAAAAGGGAACCCAGAACCCCCCAAAAAAAAAACAAAGAAAGGGGGGGAAAGGGTACCACTGGGCTACCAAGGAGCAGTTGGCGGCAGGACAGCCCCCTTCTCCTCCGAAGCCGCAGAATGCCTTGCTTGTGATGCAGCAGAAGGTCGTCTCCTCCCCGATCATGACCTCACCGGCTAAGTCCCCGATGCCGCAGGTAATGCAAAAGAGCTGGGAGAAGAGGGAGTCGTTGGAGATGGGCTTTGAACCCTCACCCAGTGTGGTGTACAAGGCGGCGCCGTGCTCTGGGTTTTCAACCATCGAGACCTGGTTGGGAGCAATCTCCTCGTCGACCACCACGTCTAGCTCCGCCATCACATCATCCATCACCTCTGGCTTGGGCGCCGCCATGTTTTGTCAAGGACGGCGAGTATTGTTTGCTCACGAGAGTTCGGCGGCTTTCGAGAGACAGGTCGCTTGAGCCCAACAGGGATTAGGCGGCTCGTAGGGCCAGAAATAGTCTTCAACCCACACAGCCCTCCAAAGATTGGTGGCTTTTTTGCAGGATGTGCTTGTGGAGAGAAGCTTCTAGAATGCCCGTGCCACGTCGCAAAAATAACACCATCAGCAAAACTCCAAAGCTGTGGCTTTGACACTCAAACGGCTTTTCGGGTGGCTTGAGGGCCCAGGGCTTCGGGCCCTTTTTTAAGGCCCTGGCTACTGACGCGGCCTCGCCAGTCTCCGAGCTCAGCCGGAGCTTGCCTGCTGATCAGCTGTGTTGCTAGGCGAAACAAAACATGGGCTTTGCGAAAATAAGGAATCCCCAGAAAAGACCCCCAGGTATGATTCCCTTTGAAGTAGGACCCTAATAAGGTACCCCTAATTATTAAATTTCGGAAAGCCCCAGGCATCTGTGGTAAACTTGTGCCGCGTATTCCGGACAAACGACTCTTCCGCGAAGGACTCAAAACCTAAACCCTAAACCCTAAGCCCTAAACCCTAAACCCTGACTGTGAAGCGAGCTTCGCACGAACCTTGCACTTGCTGAAGTTGGCCATACGCTATCCACCTATCCACCGGTATCCTACTGAATCCTACTATTTGCTGGACAAAAAGCCCCCAAAATAGGATAACAATCCCTATCTTGCCCTCGTAATGAAGAAATATGTTCATTTTTTGCGGTTGTTCTTAAATCAAACAGTAGCCATCAGCGTAAGGATTACTTAGAGACTCCCTGCGCCTCCGAAAGGCAAGCGGCCAAAGTCGGCGGTGCCTCACCACGATGCTCCGATACTGTGGGTTTCGGGTTGCGGGTTCAGGGTTCAGGGTTTCGGGTTCAGGTTTTAGGGTTTCGGGGTCCGCGGTTTGTGTATCTGGGTAAGAAAGAACCAAGACTCTTGTCTTGAATGTCTGGCCTGAGGGAGGGCCCTGCAACCTGCATGATAAAGCCCTTTTTTCTAAACCCAAAACCCTGAACCCCAAACCCTGGAACGGAAGGGTGCCACTCTGAAACCTCTGCGGGAACTGGTGGAAAGCGAAGGCAAAGCCAACCCAGACTCCCCTACCCTTGCGCGCGCTTGCCAAACCTCCCTTCGAGCGTCCCAAAGCCTGGATGGATGCCAATTTTTTTGGGAGGGGGTTTAGGGCTTAGGGCTCTGTGAGGCCCCAACAAAAGATTTTTTGAGGACTGTTCGTTGACATTTGAGCTTTGGGAAGCAGCCTGGCATCCGAAGTCCCTGCCTCGAAGCCTCTCCCCTTTCATTCTTCATCCTCGAAAACCTCAGCCCGTACTTTTTGACCCCCCAAGCCCCTGCGCCGCACCCGCACCTGTTGACCCGAACCCCTTTTTTGCAACTTGTGCTTTTTGCATCCGGGCTCATTGCTGCCGGGATCTTGCTTCCTACGCTCTTGGAGCTGCAGAAAGCACACCGGCAGTTGATCACGCCGAGACGCGATGCCCTAGCATTGCCTTCACCACATAGTTCAGCCCTGTCCTCCGTTCAATGTTGCGAGACGCTTCGCCCATTTCTAGGTAGAGCCCTAAACCCTAAACCCTAAACCCTAAACCCTAAACCCTAAACCCTAAACCCTCAGCCCTTTTGTTGTCCACAACAACTCTCCAGGCCTCCTGGCTCGAGCTCCCAGATTTCCTCCCGGTCCTGCAACGCCCACGCATCCCCGAATTGCGGGGAAACGGGCCTTGCTGGAATTCCTACAGCTGGGTGCAGGGTTGGCTTCATAAGCAGTTTATAAGGTTCAAGGGCGCAAACAGGCTTAGATTTGAGCCCCACAGAGAGCCAGGGGTATCAGCGACGATGTTGGGAAGCTGTCCTGGGATTTAGGGCCCTAAGCATCCCTGACACAGAAGTGCAAGCCATGCAAACCCGACTCCTCCCCACGCTGAAGGGAGGCTCGCAGAGAGACCTTATGGTGTTGCGTGGGCTCTTGGGATGCCCAAGCTCCCCGACCCATCTCGACCCTAGCAAGACAGCCCAACGCTCTTCTGCTGCCCTGACCGACACGCCATTGGTCGGTGTGTGTCTCCTCTTTTTTCTACGGGGCTTGAGGAGTAGGCAAGTTACCCTACGCCCCGCGCACTGGTTGCAGGCCCAGAGGCCGGGAGCGAGTTGGCCACTCGCAAACCAGGAAGAAGCAAAAGCCTCAAAGCTATTGCGTGTTTTATCGTGCTGATGCCAAGAGACCAGTTCAAGAGATAGCTGAAAGCCCCCTGAGCCCTGCGTCCTAAACTCCTCGAAATCCGAAACCCACAGAGTTCGTGCGTTCGACCATGTGAGGACACATGCGGAACTCAAAGACCGAGTGGCGAGTACCGCTGAAGGGCTGTGCGGCTCGAGTCTTTCTGGAAAGAGCCTATGTCGCAAGACTGTAGGGGTTCTGAAGCTCGGGATTCTGGCTATGGAGACCTTGGGGAAGTTGCAGTCGTTTTCTTAAACATGGACAGCCTGAATAATGGGGTACGAGTCTACGGACGTCTGCCGCTTTGGTGCGTTCCCAGGACACTGCGCTGACATCGGCTTCACATTATGAAGTATAGGGTTTGGATTGCTCGTAGACGCCCCATAGGTACATTCGCAAATCTCCCGAAGGACCCGTATATGCACTCACCAAAGCCTTCTTACTTGAACGCTGCTCCATGTTTTTTGATTGAACTATCCCTAAGGTTCGGTTCAGGACAAGGTGCCGCCCACGATGCGAGTCTCCTGCACAGCACACACGTCACACCCGTTTACCTGACGGGTGGATCTTAGACATTAAATGACTTTAGTGGGCAAAGCTCTCGGCCCAACTTTTCAGGAGTTGGGGACATGCAGTGCGCAGTAGCTGCACCGAGCTTGCTGAGCTGCAGCTTTGAGCC